GGGAGGATTTATGTGAGGGTTTGTTCAGGTAAAAGGAAGCTGAATCATCAATAGGAAAGAGAAAGGCCCAAGCGGTCGTGTGTGTAAGATGATGGTCACCCACATGTGAATAGCTGGGCTTACCACTGTGATGTCAGCCAAGGCATCAACTCCTGGTACAGTTAATCATGGGTATCCAGAGGATGGTCCAGCCAAATTAAAAAAAAAGTAGCTTTGACCCAAGGCAGCAACTGGGTTCGAGCTTATTTCGTCGACCAAATCAGAAAAAGATTTTCAACTAAAAATAAAGCAAGTGAGATTGAGCTTTTGATTAAAATACTTTTTCCTTTTAATGAAATGAACTGACATTAAACTTGATCATGAATAAAGCAAATACCAAATACACACACTGCTGTGTTTATATGTAAAAGTACCCTTGACAATATTGACTATAAGGGTCGACAAAGTAAAGGCTACACTTGATCAACAAAATGACAACATTCGTTGCTACAGTGATAAACTGCTCTATCATCACATTGTTCCTCTTTAAGGCTTGTTGAGTTATCCTTCTACTAGTTTATCTCCATATAGACTTATTTTTATCCACTTCACGCATTTATGTATTCATATTCTTTTTCATGGTCATAAAAATCTCTTTTCTCATTGCCCAATAAATCATATATTTGATAATACTCTTCATTCATGATACGCGAGTATCCATGACAATAAAGTCATTAATTGAAGTATGTCGTGTACCTTAGCAACCCATCCTGTTTCGAGCGCCATTTGAAATAGTTTATGCAGACTTAAAAGATCCATTGCTTTACTATAAAAATGAGCATATAGTCATCAAATCTACTACGATCACAGTCATTGCTAATGTTGGTCTGCATTTCACAAGCAGAAAGAAAAAGGATAGGGATATAACAACAGGGGATAGAGGATAAGTATTTTACCCTTTACCCTTTTTTCATGTGCACTAAAAATAAAAGTAAAAACAATACACACTCTTATGTTTTCCTAAACCAGCAACTCAATCACCTATGCTTCATGCTTGATAAACAGATTTCGATACATGAAGGCTAGGGTGATTTGATTTTGGTTCTTTTTAGCAAAAAGTCATAGTGCTAATCAAATAGATCAATCATGATTGACTTTCTTTGATTTGTAAATAACAACTGTAATGGAATTAATAGCGTTTGTTCCACAGAATCGGCAGTCTAATGCTCTTTGAGAAAAGCTTTGTTTTTTTGTTTACTATCAACTGCGTTTTTGAAGGATGCCGTCCTCCCCTCAACCTTTTTTCTTGTACATTTAATTCTCACCTTACTTTTTTTTTTTTTTTACTCATTATTAAAGAAAACGACCAGAAAAATAAAAATAGATAAAAAAACCACGCATTGGAAATAAGAAAAGTGAAGCAATCATAATAAAAAAATTATGTGTGTGTGTATGTAAGTGCGTGAGGTTAGCTTTATGTGAGCAAGCGGCATCAGAAAAAAAAAGGGAGGCGTGAAAATTATGTAAAGTAAACAAAACAAAACAAAAAAAAGGATACAAGAGAACATTCCATAATCTAAACTAAAAAACTAAAAAAAAAAAAAAAGGAGCTGTTCGGGTGTGCTCTAATATGGAAAAGACAGAGGATGGGCTATTTATTTATGAATTACTAGAAAAAGATAGATTGAGAAAAAGGAGGAATGAGCCATTTATTTTCAGTTTAAATCCATGACTCACGTAAACAAAAAACTATAAAAGAGACCATCATTATTTTCCTTTTTCTTCATTTTTTATCTCTTTTAAAAATTCTTCTATGCTTTTACCATTCCCTATGTTGAAAAGGTATAACAGCGTTTGGGTGATCTCAAAGTACATATAACTAATGCCATCGTTTAGAAAATTCACTTTTGCTAACTCTATTTTATGGTTCCTGATGCAACTTACTCTATCATAATGACCTCTCACGGGGCGAAGCCTTAAAGGGATCTCTACTGCTCGTTAATGCTCAAAAAATGCTTGCTACTGCTTATCAATACATTCAAACAATCAAACAAGTACTTAAATACCTACCCATGCTTATCAATACCTATAAGTGACCATCAGTGCCTGAAAATGCTAGTGAATACCTGTCCCATGATCATCAGCGTCGGAAAGTCCCTGAAGAATTTTACTCATGTCTATCAACGCCTGCTGCTAGTAGATACTGCTCTGGAGTAACTACATACGACAGGTCGCTGCTTCTCTACGCTGGATCACTCCAAGATGCTCCTATTGTTATGGCTCTGCCTCTACAGCTGATGAATGGCCCGTAAACCCTCCCTTAATGCTGAGCTCGATGGTCGCGATGCTCCAAAGGTTCAATATTCCGATGTCTCCACGGTCATCACCCCTTTCGAAACGCTTCGTCCTAGGTACTTAGAAGTGCACTCTTTGTACGTTGAAGCGCCTCTTTCGTTGAATTTATCGTGGTATGATTTTGAGATTGATTTTTGAGCCTTGAGCTTTGAGTGCTTTTTATTCATGGAAGGTTTACACCGTGTAGTCTTCTGGCATGCAGTCTATGGTTCTAGTCATCTTGGGTGTGAAAGCTAGCGATAATGTGACCATCTGGACTTATGGAAAAAAAAAGAAGAAGAAATATCTGTTTACTCTGTAAACTTGGCTATCAAAACAAAAGTCTCCACTTGCTCTCTTTACTTGGCTATCAAAAGAGAAAATCTCTGCTTATCCAAACCAACCTCTCTCTTTGGAAATCAAACCACTGCTTACTTAAATAAAGCCTCATTTTGTTACTCTTACTCTCTGACTTTTTGTTCTTTAATCTTAATAAAATATATTTACTTGACGCACTTTTCTTTACCTCTGATAATCCAATGAAACAACAGTTTAATGATTTCTTCACATGCGTCACTATGAAACAATTTGTGCAATAATCACTGTAAAATAAAAAACACAATATATATCAAAAAAGATAATGATAAAATTATGACTTTTATTGTTGTTTGCGTAGCTCCTTCGTCAGCTTACTAAGCAACCATTTACGTGGACATCATTCTCACATGGTTGGTTAGATCAAGCATTCTTTGTAATGACATATATGTAATGATTTTGTTTAGGCCGCCAGTTTTACTTAAGACGACTTACAGTCATCTATGAAATCCGCCGTATTTCTCAGGAGAGCTCCAGAACAGTTTCTGAGGCAGTACAGATGCTAGAAGGAAAGTGACAAGAAAGTAGCTCCAACTAATCTGTCAAGCTTCATCACTGAAGATGAATCCGAACGTAAGCTATCAGACTGTTCTCTTTAGATTTCTACAATAGAGCTAATGTCTTTGTCGAGTCGATACCGGTGCAAACGCTGTGTGAGGTCTGATAATGTAAAATATTATGTGAAAGTAAAAATAAAAGTGGTTCGTAGCTTCTAGTGTTTTTTAAGTTAATGGTTGCAATTCTTGTGGTAAAGAAAGGTTCTGTTTATTTGAATAATTATCAAAGCTATTTATATTCCTTCAATCAAATAAGTATCACAAACTATCTTTTAAACGAACAATAAAACTGGGATTAAACTAATTTTACACGACAATGCTCAAAATATTATCATACGTAGCACTGTTACGTCTCCATTAGCAAACAATGAGCATGCCTGCTTCAACATTTGCATATCTTGTCTGAGCCCAAGGATATCACCTTTGATTCCCACAGTAGCTTCGGTTTGGCCCTGGCTGTTATTGCTGATAAGGCTAGACAGTGTATGCTGGTTCGCATCTATCTTTGCGCTCAGCATTTGCAAGTGATTACTAGCCAAAGGTAGAGCCCTGTCTACTTGGGTGTCGGCTAGTTCTTGGGCGGCTTGTACAGTAGGCAGGAGGTTAGCTTCGAATGCTAAGAACTCTGAATCGCTGAAGAGAACATTGTTGAAAAATGGGTTTTCATGGTGTTCCACACAAAACATTACAGCATCTTGCAAAATGATTTTTGTCTCAGGCTACTTACTTTAGCCTACCGTTGGTTGACGTCTGTCACGTACAAGCAGATAGTGTATTCTCATTTAGTCGCTTTATTCGCACTACGAATGTTGCAAATTTCTTTATACAAGGTTCTGCTCGTAAGCTTTTTCGCTATCGAAGTCGTGGTGAATGTTTATATCCGAACATTCTGTCAAAAATTCATACAGAATTTCTTCAGGGTCACCTTCAGCACCATGGATTTTTCTGGATACACTTAGTGTTCACGCACCAGGAAACTTTGACCAGCCCAAGCTCGATAGATATTCAGCTATTCCTTTATGCCTTCGCCTTAACGATAGGCTGATTCTTTCCTTAAAAAACAAGACCTTGAGATGGACCATCACAAACAGATTTGAACTCCCTCCGGGGCTACTACATCTTCCAGTTATTTCTAGACACAGTTGGAGTCAGTTCTACACCAGTCCTATGCAGTACTCTGCTAGGCGCCTATGGTATAGATGGATTTTCGACAAGATATCCAGCAAAACCAATCTTTGATGTATAATTCCACAGCAAGTGTCAGACGGCTTTTGCCAGTGCTGTCATATATCCGAGACAACAGGGCATATGCAGTTTATCTGTGAGCCTGCAACATGGCCAAGAAATTTTTATGAAAGCTGTAGAGTTCTTCTGCACTGCCTTTCTAAGGCTATACTCTGTTTTGCTCGGGCCAATTTCCTTTATTTTGATGAGGTTTAATCTTACTTCATCCATAAAAAAGATTCTTTAAGAAAGATGAAGAGGGTAATACGTGTTCAAATTTTACAAGCTAAAGAGAAAAGAGAGAGAAAGGTTTTCTTTTGACACAAGTTTTATGGATATGCTATTGAATGATTAGTATTGCTTTTTTGACTTGGCAGATTTGAATCGAAGCCACCAATCATGTACTTGGTTGTCAGAGAGGTTGCCCTTGACACAATTGATAATGCTGCATACAACTTGTAAGTTATCCAATTCAGAAGAAGACTTGTCTCCTTTGGATAATGGTATAATATGATCATAAGAGAGGGCCCAGTAACGATTAGAATCTGGCGGTGCAATATAGGTTCTACAGCCGGTGACAGCGCATCGCATGTCACTTTTATTAGCGAGTAGCATTAGTTGATAATATTCAACAGTGCTCACGCTACTTCCAAAGCGTTTTGTTGTCCTAGTGTAAATTTGTTTCGTTCTTCTCCTGAATATACTTATGACTTCTGTCACTGGTACGTGTCTGACAACATCTTCATCAGGAGGTAGATTTCCTGTCAGAAGGTATTCCATCAGGCCAATTTCATCATTCAAGTTTTTGGGAAAGTTAAAAAGGCTATAAAAAAACATAATAATCAACATTTACTTTTTAGTGTATTTGATTAGGAAACATACACAGAAACTACTACATCAAAAGAGAGCCAACCCACTCTCTATTTTTGATGATGCATCATTTCTGTATCCTGTGTTTCCTATTCGCCTTTTTTTTTTTTTTTTTTTACCGATGACATGCCAAGCAGAGTGGACCTCTACGTCTTTGGGTAGATGGTTCTTTGTAAGATTGAAGGTTTCTCTCCCGACTTTTAACCATTAGAACGCCGCATTCAATACAATGGTCACCATGTCGCTATTACTTTGGTGAGCTCAATGCTATACATCTTTTCTAGCATAACTTACCACCATGATATTTTTAAAAAACTCTCGTCTTTTGAGTGCATACCACTCTGGTGAAAAGAGGGGATAAGATTCACCTTCACGAACATTCAAATGATCAACCTTTTTATAGTCCCAAACATATGCTTCAAAAGTTCTTGCTTTGACCCTTGAATCATAATAGCGTGACAAAGATGTCTCACTTTTAATCGCAATAGAGAGACTCTTTGCTGTGATTGCTTCATTCAAGGTGACAAAGCTCAGCTTTGATATGTCCGAGACCGTAGAAGTTGATTGACCATTCAGAATGGGTGAATTAGGTGGAGTATAAAACACTTCCTCTTCATCTACTTGTTGTTGTTGTTGCATGTTATCAAGACTCATTTGAATATAAAAAAGAAAAAAAAAGGAGAAAAGGGCCCCCTTTTTTTGTTTTGTAAGTAAACAAATAAACATAAATAAAAAAACAAAGATATTGTTTCAAATCCTTGAAAATAATTGAATACGTCACTGATATTCATTTGAAACTATCGTCTCAAAGCAATACTTTGCCACTTGTTAATCCATTCAGTTTAGCAAGCTTTGGAGATAAGACAGATACGGTTTGCCTTAATTGGAAAGAGCGTCTTTAGTCTCTTAGTCAAATATTGAGCTTTTTAAAAGCGGAGCCCACTACTTCAGGGGATATCTTGTAGTTATAAGCTTTTATCGTGTGATGAACTCAAAGTCCAACGACCAAATGTCTATATCAATCTAACATCTTTCAACATAAGACTGTCAAACAGTTCCAGGGTTATCCATAGGTCGGTATCAGTATGTGTGTACCTTTCAAATCGACTTTGCACATATAGTTCTCTCTCTCTTTCTCTGTTTGTCTGTCTGTCTATCTGTCTCATACAACAACACTTTCTATTTTGAAATGTAGATATTAGATAGACCAAAGGGGTTTCAGTGTTGCACAGGGCTTGCTTTCCTTAATATTCAAATCCCGTGGTAATTTCCTTGGCAGTTTCTTTTTTTATTCAATTATTTATTTCTAGATCGCAACCCATAAACTTGTTCCTATGACAACTGTAATTCCACCAGTCAAGCTAGTTTATTACACTAGCTGGTTTGGAAACAGAAAATTTGGTATATAACCCTAATAGCTGCTCAGATCAAGTCTTCAACTAAAAACGTCCGTTTGATAAAGACATAGACAAAGATATCGGAAGAGACTGTCCAATACCGGATGGATATGTATTCAACTTGACCGGTCAAACCACATGGTGCACACTGACAAGTTCAACTGATCATTGGCAAAAAGCGAGTGGACTCATCTTTCATGCGGCTGATATTCACTATGATGCATTTCCTCCACGTATGCGCGAGGAACCTTGTTTATTAAAGATAAATATTGATCTACAATCATACATTAGGCATTGATAATCAACCGAGGATCCTAGAGACGCTAGAATCGCCTATAACTGCTCCCTTTAGAACAAACCCAGAACAGATGAAGAACTATGACTACCTAGCAACATACAACTTCAGATCCACCTTCTTCTTTACCTATTTCTCACCTAGCATCATGGACGTAGTCAATAGACCATTACCTCACGACTTTATGGAGACAAAAACAAAGAAAGCACCCATTCTTTGGATTGCTCGAAATTGTCGAGCTACCAGTGGCCGAGAGAATTATATTAGTGAACTCATGAATCATATTCAAGTGGACAGTTATGGGGAGTGTCTGAACAATAAAGAGTTCCCAAAAGACAAGTCGAGAGAGGAACTGATGGCTGAATATAAATTTTATTTAGCGATTGAAAACGCCAACTGTGAGGATTATGGTAAACTTTCCCCTTTTTAAGAGCTGAAATCAGTTATATAACCGGTTTCTATAGTCACAGAGAAACTATACGATACCTTCATGATGTCTGCAGTGCCTATTGTTGACGGTCCTTCAAGTTACGAGGGCTATCTTCCTACAAATAGATCAGTTATTTATATGGACGCATACCCTGATCCAAAAGATCTAGCTGACTATATAAACTATTTAGATAAGAATGATACAGCATACCTTGAGTATTTATCATTTAGACGAGATGCATTGAAAATAGCTGCAAATGATCGACTAGAACCTGCATTTATTAGCAACTGGAGTGACACAATTGCGCACAAGAAAAGGTCTGATTACTGCTCTATATGTCGAGGAGTACTGCCGTGGTGGAAGAATAGACATACAGCCGGTTCTGATGTATATAAAGATGAATCCGAACGATTTTTAGTGGACGATAGTTGTCAGCCTGGGGGGAAATGGAACTACATCTCTCTCGGACGTCCATATAATCCCAGTTGGGAGCCACGTCCTCTTGATGAGTTCACTAGGCCTCATGCTATGCTAGACGAACCTGTACGAGAAGATGAAAAGATGATCGAGCTCATCGGGAATGATACACATACGATGGCAATTACTGCAAACATTGCTTTCATCTGTATATTGTTGAGCTTTATTATTGTGTTGTCAAGAGTGTCGCGTACGACTAGTAAACAAAGCATAACACCCGTTCATGTGTAAATTCCCAACCACAAATTCATTGCTTAATAAAGAAACATTCTTTTTTCCTTTATATGGAATCGAATACCAATAAATAGAGTAATTGAACGAGGACGTCCGCTTTAATTAAAAACATCTCTTGTTTCAAAAGAGACGCCACTTTAGCAGCAGACACAGGAGCAGCAAAACGAATTCTTCATTCACCCTACTCTCATCACCTTAGCAGTAGGGATGAGAGCCAAAAGAGAAAACCGTTCGATCTTGGAAGACCAATAACCAGTCTGCCTCTTTGCAGCAGAACAGGAGGAATAAGATAGAGGCTTGTAAGGACACAAAGAGCCAAGGTGTCCAGTTGAATTGATGATTCTTAGTCACAAAACCAGGTTTCGACAAAGTTTTTTTTTAAAGAAAGAAACACAAATAATAAAATATTGATCAATAATAATATCTATTTAGCTTAATGTAGCACATTGTTGTTAAAAAAAAGCCTCTTTTTGTTAATGATTCAAGCAATAGAACTTGCTTGTAGTATGACATTACAAGGAATTCATCTCTGTCCTTTTTTTTTTTCAGCGAGCTACTCATTCTAGAGTGTCTTTCTGTATCTACTCACTTGTATATTTCTAAGAATCAACAGCAAAATGATTATGATTTATTTCTGATCTTTAATGAAATATCTCTTTGATTCGTAGCTAAATTCTGTAGGACCACAGATATCCTCTTGGATAAAAGTCAAAATGGAAATGATGCTGTCCCTAGTCACCTTTATGCCGACTCTGATAAGAATAACTTGCCAATTCACTACAAGTATAATGAAATCAACCTACGCTTGACAAATGTATACTCCGCAAGTAATTTTTTATTTGAGGCAATTGAGACTGAAGGGCTCATCAATTTTTGTGTTTATTTTAAAGAAGCAATATGGAACCAGAGCATATCGAAGAAGTCGATGACGAAAAAATCATTTATGAATGGAGTCCACCCACAGGTCAAAAACAAGAATTCTTTTATAAAGGATATCCCATCACTAGAGAACAAGTAAAAAAAGATAAAAGAAAGCAATTTATGGCAGCTGATCAAAGTAATTAGGTCAATAAAATGTTTGATAATTCAAAAATTAGAGAATGTAGAGGACATAAAGAAAAGGTACACACCGTTGCTTGGAACTGTGACGGTAGAAAGTTAGCGTCTGGTTCAGTGGACAAAACAGCGCGTGTTTGGACACCTCATCGAGGGGTATGAAAGAATGATTGAAAGGAAGCACAAGTTCTTAACATACTCTCTTTTTTTTTCTTTTTTTTTTCTCGACTTACTAGACAGATATTCGGTACTCTGTTGAACTTAAAGGACACACTGACAGCGTAGATCAGCTAGATTGGGATCCAACTCATCCAGATAGATTAGCAACAGCTTCATGTGATAAAACAGTGCGATTATGGGATCAACGATGTAAAATAAAAAAAAGAAATAGAAAAGGAAACAAGCTAATGCCTTTTTTTTTTAAAAAAATAGCTGGTAAATGTACAGCTGTGATACAGACAGCAGGTGAAAACATCAATATATGCTGGAGTCCAGATGGAAATCATATTGCAGTAGGCGATAAAAACGACACGATCAGCATCATTGATACACGTACACACAAGATTATTGATAATCGCAAACATCCAGTAGAAGTCAACGAGATCGCATGGAATAATGCCAATAACCAATTCTTTGTCACAACAGGACAAGGCACAATCAAAGTCTATGATTATCCATCCTTTGAGTTACAGCTTAACCTGAGAGGACATACAGCCAACTGTTACTGTGTAGAGGTAGATCCTACAAGTAAGTATCTAGCCGTAGGATCAGCAGATGCTCTAGTCACTTTGTGGGATACACGAACCTTTCAATGTGTCAGGGCCTTTGAAGAACTTACATGGCCTGTTAGAACCCTTGGATTTAGTTTTGATGGCCAGTTTATTGCATCCGCTTCAGAAGATCATTTTATTGATGTGGTAGAGTAAAAAAAAGAGAAAAGAACAGCTGAATGACTTCTTTTTATTTAGTCGCATGTTGAAAGTGGAGAATCCATTCATCATATAGAATGCTCTGCAGCTATGAATACCGTAGCATGGTCACCTCGTGATTACTATCTGGCGTATGCAGGAGACGAAATAGCCTCTGACGGAAAATACGCAGGCAACTTGAAAATCTTTAGCATGAAGGATCCTAGAGAGGACACCAAGCTACAATAAAAACGAGGGTTTATTGACTACTATCTATTTGCTGTCGATCCTCCAAAAAGACAACTTTGCTACTCTTCAATCTATCTATTGCTTTTCCGATATTCTCAATGTGCATTTCTAGTGGTATGGCATCAGGCACAAGTATAGGCGCGACCACCTGCGACCTCAATTCTTCAAGGTCCATCTGAAACCTCTCCATCTTATCTCGCATCATCATGAGTTGCTTTGCAGCCTTGACCCTTTCCGCATCAAAACTCACCAACAGCTTCAAGTTTTCCTTGACCAGTGTACGGCTGATGCCTTGGCTGGTGACTCTGTTGATGAGGCTTGCCAAAACGTCGGGCATTTCGGATTCCTGATAGCTTCTTTCCTGAATTGTGATTTCATGAATTGCATAAAGATCTTCTTCCAGAGTGAAAAGCGATCCTTGTGCCTTATCGATAGCCAGTATGAGCCGCTTGGTTTCCTTTTCGACGAGCGCCATGGCTGTTTCATATAGTACTCGTAGATCTTGCCGACTTGACTTTTTTGCCTGTACCTCGGATAACTTACGGAGCGTAAAGGTGTTGTAGGTAATCAGGTTATCAATGACACCTCTTGTCTGAGCCTGTAGGCTCTGTAGGTCACGGCCAAATTGCCTTGAGCGCTGAACGTATTCACCCAATTTGATTTCCAACAGATCAGAACTTAACAGATTAGAATGCTTGACCATAGCCTGTAGGTCTCTTGTAGCAAGTTCAACGCGTTTCAATTCCAGAGCAGAGATCGCCTCTGCTCTAGGTCGCGATAACATGGTGTCATACAGCGATTCTTGAAGTTTGACAAAGTGAGTAAAGTCGGGAATGGTTGCTGAATAGTTTTTACAGACTGGAAGGTATTGTCCAACCAAGGGAAGTGGGCAGACTGTATCCAATATGAGTTCTTGAAATAATCTGTATCCATAGCCTAAGAGTAGAAACAAAAAGAAAAGTGCGGTGCCAAAAGTGATCAAAGGCTTTAAAAATAATAGTGCTCCTGTTATTATTTCTATGGAAACACATATAAGTCTTGTTGATCTATAAGGTAATACTTTACCAAATATAAAACGTAGTGTGTGTCCAATCGCTCTTGATGCCTGAACATATTGTGTTGATTCAAACTGAGGCGTCATTGGTGGTATTTCATATTCTGGCATGTCTGATGGCTGATCGCCTCTATTCAAGTAATGACCTACCTGCATTTGAGATCTGATGTGCTGTTTACGTCGTTTAGTCATGCTTTATATAGGCTTTTTTTTGAATGAGAAAAAAAAAGGGAAAAAAGGTTACCCTAAATGGTAACCACTACATAATTTATGCAACAAGATAAAAGGAAGAATACATAGTTTTATAGATCGCAATTAGATGTAAGAATGTATGTTATCAAAGAAGGAGTTTTAGATGCTAACTGGGAGGAATGCTATCTATATGTGCAAAGAAGCATGATGTATGCTGTATAAATAGATGAAAAAAAAAAAAAAAAATGGAAAAGAATACAGAACATATTTAACGAAGACGCAAGTACAAGTTGATCTAGTAAAACGAAAAAAAAAAAAGTAAGAAAGAGAGAATCTGATGAAGCAATAAAAGTACTTACAATAAGAGCAATAACCAACACAACACAGAGAACGGCAGGGCCCCAAAGATCATCATATCTACCTGGGTCTTTACGACTAATCATCCTATTTATACTATGAGTAAAGAAAAAAAAAAAAAGAGTTCATTCACACTTACCATGCACGCTTCTCAAATCTGTAGAGCGCATATATAGCAACTGAACCTGATACACCAATGAACACACCACCGACAATACGTGACACGCTATCACCAAAGTTGAGCAAGTTCAATGCGACTGTCAGCAAGAGCGCACAAAACTGAAGCCAAGCGATAAATGTACGTTCGTTTGCAAAGAATGTCTTGGGATCTACTTTAACCTTGATCACCTTTTTCTTTTCACCCGATTCCAAATCAACAGTTTCAGCCAAGCTTTTCTTGGACAAGAGGTTACCCTTACTGTCCATGACACCATTGGCGGCCACTTTGTAGAATGATCTTGAACGTTGAACATCTGCGCCTTTGCTGCTGCTGCTATTGTTGTTATTGTTTCGATCATCCTCGTGTGGCAACAGAGGCTGAGAAACAGCGGTCTTTAGGTTAGAAGCTGAATTGATTGGACTCGAATTGAGTTCAATCAAGGTATACTCTTCTGTTTTATCGCTCTTGCTGTTACTGCTGGGCATCGATAGCCATGCAGCCGATTTTCCATTCTTGTCAAACGGAGCTGAAGGTCTACTGCTAAGTTCTGATGCTTCTAGGACACCTTCCTCGATAATAGCTCCCTGCTTGCTTGCCTTTTCTCTTTCTTCAATCATTGCTCGTCTGTATTTACCATCAATCAATGGTTTAAAGCTCAGAGATCGAGTCAAGCCCAGGTTCTCTGCACGGGGCTTACGAATATCTGCGTTCATCTCAGCTAACCACCATGGTAAAAGGGCAAGGCGTTCTTTATAAAAATGACTTGCACCATGCAGATATTTGGAAAATCGAGGCACTTCATGCACCAGATGACCTTCAAGCAGTTTGGTTAACCAAGCAGGTTGCTTTTGATTTCCATACACTTTAGCTTCGAGAACGGCATAGGGGAATCGCAAGATCTCCTTGTCAGATAGATACTCAAAGGGGCTATTAATATCAACATCGGCACGTCGCCAATCACCAGGGTCTCTGCGTTGCTTTCCATCCAAATGATCCTCTCGAATGAAGGCAAGATCCGTGTCGAGTGTGAGCTTGAGGTTTCGAGAATGAGGCGCTTGAAAGAGAGTGTGATGGTTGAACACGCGGAGCATAGGCTGTAATTGCTTTTGTTGAATGGATGTCTGTACAGCTGCTGCAGTTGCGTGTGCTTCCTTCATAGCACTTTCGCTTGCATTATTTCGCTTGAGATCATTGGCTATATCATCCGGCTTGTATCGTCCTAATAAAAAGGCCTCTACATGATCACTGTTGATGCAGCATCTTTCTTTTACAGAGGCATCATTCAATCCAGCTGTCTGAAAGGTTTCCCGTTCGACCAATACGTTCTTGGAAGAACATGAACCATGCCTAAGGAATGATAAGACGTTTGTGATAATAATAGTATAAAGAGTATACTTACCACTTTAATCGTATGGCTTCTGCCATTTCATCTCTTTGAAGAAGCCCAGTATAGAGATCAAAGTCTGGATTGTCAAAATAAACACTAGATACAGCTGAATCCGAAGGTTCATATTTCTTGGCTGGGTTATAAACAAAAACAGGAAGATGGAGCATGATGATGGACTTAACCTCGGTAACGTTATCCGGATGAACCCAGTAAGTGGTAGTAGTATCTTCTTCAGATGATTCAGATTCATGACGATTTACTGTCGTAGGTTGTTTGCCCTTGTTGCGGCAAATATTAAGTAAAGCTGATATGTAAACAACAGAAACATCAAAGCGTTGTTTATCCAAGGGCTTTTCTCTTAGCTTCTGGACGTAATCCTGCTTCAAGTGTTTCCCAGTCCAACGATCATGTTTTTTGAGTATTTTTTGAATAGCTGTAAAATTGTATCTAGTGAATTTGGAAAGGTCGTTGACGTCAAACAAGATATCAGTGAGTGCTTCATCCATCATACTATAATTAGCATTTGATGGATTATTTTGAAAGCCTTGGATGGATCGTTCGCAGTAAAGGATTCTTGCATCAATTTCTGCTAGCTTGGCATTAATAAAGTCGTACACCTTGCTTAGTTCGTTGTCGAGTAATACAATGAATTCTCTTTCATCTCTTTCTGTCCACTTGTGGTCCATTTGTCGAGCCTTTAACTCTTGCTTTAACATATCATAGGATACATAGGATAGTCTCCATGGTGGAAATATATTCTCTTGTAGCTCGAGTCCAAATTTCATATTGTCACAAAAAGAAAAGGATTAAAGAAAAAAGGGATACAAAAAAAAAAAGAAAGATTTAAAGAAAAGAAAGTAAAGAATGTCTTAAAGTTGCACAAAGCTGATCCCAAAAAGAAAAAGGCAAAAAAAAGTGTCATCATGAGGGAGCAGTAATGGGCCATAAATATGGCTAATTCTATTTATGGAAACCCAGGTGGCTTTTAATGTCGCAGATGGGTGACACAGCATTTTCAAAATAGAAAACATAAACAATACAGTCAAGCCTATCGTACAGATGCCTCAGATGTGGTCAATACTCACTGAGCCGCGCTTTGTATTCGTAGTTTTAAATGAATAGTAACAAAATACAAAGCTTTCTTTATTCTATGTCTCTTTCATAGCTTTCTAAGTGCATCGTTCTATTTTTTTCTTGTTTTGTGGGTGGGGTAACTTTCGCTGCTTGAAGAATCTACGAAATGGAGGTAACTAAGGTTGAACTGGGAACGGCATTCATTCAAAGACGAGCTTGTCCAAACACCTTTAATTCACTTATCTAAAGTAAAGAACAAGGCAGCTACAATGATGAGCCTTATAAAGAAGAAGAGTCGGATAATTTCCACGTTTTGGAAGAAGCATTCTTCAAGTTTAAAGATGACTTCGCTTAATCATAAGTTGTATGTAAGGAAAACTCAAGCTCTCCTAGAAGAAGAGGCAACGAACGGATTTGCCCTCAAAAGGAAACATGCTAGTTCCTCATCCTCTTGTAAGCTCCTCAAAGAAAAGAGACATTGACACACAAGCTGAGAAAATCAAGCATGATGGTGTTGCTTTGCCTGGTTTAGATATTTCTTTGACAACAATCGTAAAAAGAGAGGCTGTAAAGTATCACGAGAAGTTTATTTTGAACCCTGATGGTCTCTACAGCAAAACAAAGAAAAATCATGTCTGCTGACCTCCCTTCAATTCTTGATCTGACAGACAAGTCTTTTGGCTCACAAAGATCAACCTTCACGGCAGAGCAATGAGATTATATCAACACCTATTTTGAAAAAAGGCTTGCAATTAAGCAGCATGTACTTGACAATGATATTTGCAATACAATCACGATTGTGTAGAACACATTGGGCATCTCAGCTGATTATGAATGTACTGTTGAGTATGTAGACAGGTTGAAGCAGAAGCACAAGTCAGACAAGCTCAAAGCAACCACTTATAGAATCATAAAGCATATTCTCAAAATAATGGAAAGCTACAGTGTATCGTATTCTACTTTGAATAAGAATCAATAAACAGCGTCAACACATCAATAACAAAAGCTCAGTAACACAGACTGACCAATCACAATAATTACAATCTTATATAATGCGTAACTATCATTTTTAATATCTTTATCTTTATTCTTCAAAACAAAAGAAACATAAAGAATTTCATAGTACTTTTTTTCTGCTCCTACTGTCGTGTTTACATAGATCACACATCTCTTAATTCTCTATTTATTCATTCTCAGCTAATAGACGACGTCAGACAATTACAGTCGTCATCCCTCATATATATTCAGGTCGTACCCTCATTTATTAGTTCCTTTCTCAATTCTAAAATAAAGAATAGTAATTGTTAGCTATTGACTCCTACTGTTCTATATACACATAAATACAAGAAATATCACACCTACTACTACAACAGCAAATATCACACAGTCATTTACTGCATCATAATGAAAAGAAGACTATTTGCACTTAATTTGGTCCTACATACTTGAGCAGCTCTTCCCACTTAAAAGGCATAATTTATGTTGACACTGGTGAAACTAAGAATACATACTCCACTGAAAGCAAGAAGGAGCAGTATCCCTAGCCAAATTCAGTACATGGATTTAAGATTGACATAAAGCTTGTAGTTGAAGTACAAGAAGAAGAGATTGATGTTGCCGCTGGTGAATGCGCCAAGAGCAATGACGATAACAAAGCAATCAATAACAATGTAACGCTGCTTTGAGAGTATAAAGACACTATTAATGGATTGGTCAACAATCTGAAAAACGCCAATGGTGAAGTCATGTCATATATGATACAAATAACTGACTCCTCTTGTGTTCTATCTGCTGTGCATCTCGCTGTAAATGGCTTATACGTTCAGCATACTGCATAGCTTTGATGATCTTTCCGGCCTACTAGAAGCCTTAGCACAATTATTGACAGTGAAAAAAAAGCTTCAATCAGTTGCAGATAAAATAATCAAAGAAAGGAAGAAGATGCACTCTGCAGAGGGCCCTTTTAATAAACACAAAATACCTATTATCAATGGCAAACTTAGCTGGCTTCGCTGTACCTGGTACACTCCTCTAGCTGTTATATTTTGTCTTTTAGCTACTTCTGTGCAGCTTGTTGATTTCTTGAATACCATACTTTCACCCATGGATCCAAGTAATTAACAAGTCTTTGTTTCCAAAAGCTTACCTATGAATGATATACTTACTATAGTTCGGGAGCATGCAAATATCTTAGACAACAATACCTCACAAAGCTTCAGTAAATGGTGTCGTGCTAGAAAGCTGGAGTTAATGAAAGCCCAAACTTTTGGAAATCAATGCTTAGAAAGCACTTAGAAGAAAGGGAATGAAATGAACCATGAAATAAAATTAAACTCATTCAATGAGTTTTCTCTAGCTGGGTGATTACTTTGGATTGGCGTAGCTGTGGCGCGGCTGTGGTGCGGCTGTGATGTAGTGTGATAAAAGAATGAACGCGATGTCAGTATATTTATTTTAGAAAGCGCCCACTCATTTTGAGTGTGTTCGATATCAATTCCCACTTGGTGCGGCTTTTCTTTTCCGAAACACAGTGTTTGTTGAACATTAGAATGCTCAGCAAATTAAGGCTTCGCACCAATTTACAGCTTTTTTATAAATAGATTGAACTACAAAAAATAAAATGGAGAGTAGGCCAGCAAGGAAGAATATATGTAAGTAATGTTTTCACTGATTTAAGCAAATGTCGTCATCGCATTTTTATTATTCTACTTCTATTTTGCCTGGATTAAGCGGCATTTTGTTATTGCGCTCAATCTCAATTCAGGGGCTTTACAATGGTAGTTATTCAGTTCACAATGGCAATTTTTTGATAAGACAGCTAAAGCTTGGTTTGGAGAATAAAAGAGCCGAGTAAAAGAATTTCATATGATAAAATAAGATCCCATTGGCAACCTTCATGTGTATTTATAGTCTATTGTGTCCGCACAGATTATTAACAGCACCAAGGTATCTACACACATATGCTTTTATTATAATCAAACACGTATACATATACACACACATATATATGTATATATGTAACATGATGGTCATATAACCATTCATGTTTAATCCTCATCTTCGTCCTCTTCTTTTATTTTCCCATGCTTTGTTAATCTAGTCGTATTATTTCGGTTTGCTTCCTGTAAATGGTGATGATCTTTATTGTCTAACCCATCTTCATCCTTGGTTGAATGGTTATGCCTGTTATCATTATTGGTAGGGTGTGTCATATTATGCTGCGTATTCGATACATTATATGGTTTGCCAAAAGGACTAGGATTATTTGTCACTGGCTGACTAACGCGTAACCCAAAGTTAACAAGTAGGGCGAGAACAAAAACAAAGCAGATAATGGCTGGTCCATACATATCATCAAATCTGCTACTGCTTCTAAATCTAATCTGCCATGCCCTATACTGAAATCGTAATAGAGCATAGCCCGCAAGAATGACAGCGATCATAATAAAGATTCCTCCACTTGTACGAGAAACATGATCTCCAAAATTAATAAGAGCTAATGACATGGTGAGCAAGAAGGCGCTAAACTGGAGCCAGGAGATAAACGTTCTTTCGTTAGCAAAGAATATCTTAGGTTCTAACTTTTTCACTTTCCCATTCTTGGGCATTATGCGTGGGTCTTCTTTAGCAGGGTCAAGTAGCTGCTTATTGTTTGTAACCTTGGCAACCAGCCATTTTATCATCGTTATATCGTCCTGGTTATCTCTATTGTCTTTGAACATGGGTGGTAAGCTCTTGATTTTTGTCACAATTGCGCTTGACATGAAATTGTTGTAGGTATTCTGATCATCCCGGGTTATTTCTAATACCGTCATTGAAGAATTTGCTTGTATATCTTTTTCTTCTAGAAAAATTGCGCCATCTTGTCCTGGGGCCATGTGTATATCTTTATTCAGTTCAGGAAGCCACCAAGGAAGTAATTGCAACTGGTCACTATAACAGTCTGCAGCTCCTTGGGCGTAGTCTATAAAGTAAGGCACCTCATATACTAGTCTACTGACGTCCGTAAGATGAACGAGCCAATCCGGCATCTCTTGGTGTATTGCTGATTTTATTTCGAGCAAGGCGTAAGGAAAATAATACGACTCGTCGTGAAGTGTTCCAGATGACTCATGTTGCTCTTTCATAAATACTAGATTCTTCTTTAAAAGTAGTGTGATACCTTGGTCGCTGTATTTTGTGCTTTTATAACTGCCCTTGATGATCGGCTTTAAGCTTTTACTTTGAATAGATTCGCGTATGGCGCTTGCAGTACGGCTGTCTTCATCACAACTAAACTGCACAGGCTCTCCTCCAAGGTAACTCTTCACAAGTTGTGACTCTATCCTAAATGATCTTTCCTTGATGAACGACTTTTCATGATCTACAAACACTTTTTGGTCAAATGTAACAGTGGCTACGTCATGCCTGCAAAAGAATGGAAATAAACAATGCATAAATACAAATGATCATCGTTTAAATGAAGTTTATGCATACCATATCATCTTGATGAGTTCTGTGGATTCTTTCTTCTTTAAAAAGTCCATATAGATTTGAAAACTTGGTAAGTGATCATAATAAACAAATTGTACTGGATCTATTTCCTGCTTTGGAGATCGAAAGAGCAGGATAGCTTCAAGCTCATTAAGATGATCCCTGTGCACCCAAAATGTTCTAAAGTGATACACTACGTCTAATTTGTCTTGCAGTATAGTGATGTAGTTGTCCCAGTACCGGTTATATTTATGTGCAAGCGTGAACTCTGTCCATTTATCATGCTTTTTCAAGATCTTTTTAAAACCAATCGTGTTTAGGTGAATAAAGTCTAGCAAGGGCCGCACCTCCTCTAATGACAAGTGATTTATCTTGGTTTCGATAAAACAATTGACCTTCTCGAACTGTTTGTCGATTAATTGCTTATTAAAATAAATTTCGTCTTCAAATGTCCATCCTCCTCCCGTAAGCTGTCTATCTTTTAGAAAGTACTTTAGTTCATCATAGTTGATATATTGATGTTTCCATGGCAGATAAATGTGCTGAGATAAATGTAATCCAAATTTCATCACTCCTTTTTTCTTATACGATTCAAAAAAAAAAGGGAAAGATAAAGAATAAAAGACCAACATTTATGCAAAAGGGCTACCCCTTTTTTTCTTTAGTAAACGTTAATTCTTCCCTCCTTTTATTTATTTATTTAATGCTATCACATTCAGTTACATTTGCTTATGATTGGGATATTTTAATTGTTTAGGGGGCTTGTCATGGTTATTTTTATAGTAAAGGATAGTTTATTGTTTATTTCTATAGTTATTATTGAGAAGGCTTTTGGTGGTAGGAAGGAGAGAGAGTTTCAAAACGAAGATAAAAGTTCACAATCAACGCAACAACTAGTAAAATACACAAAACAGTAGGTCCCCAAATATCATCATATCGAATGAGATTTAGGTTAGTACGAAGCTGCCATGACCTAATCTGGTATCTAATCAATGCGTATCTACATAACAAAGCAAATTAGATCATCAAATGAACCATTATCTCTGAATTTCAACTTACATGCACAGTGCCGCCCCAATGATGATGAAGGTAGCACCAATGCCTCTGGAAATGAGATCACCATAGTTTAGTAGATTCAACGCAACAGTAAGCAAGAGAGCACAGAATTGTAACCAAGAGATAAATGTACGTTCGTTTGCAAAGAACGTCTTGGGTTCAGCCTTTTTCGACAACTGACTACTGCGCGCACGGGGCAACAGCGGCGATGTTCTTTTGTTGCTCCTACCCCTTTTAAGAAAGGATCCGGTCAGGATGGGTGTACTCACATTTTGAAAGCGATTTACAAAGTCCTTATATGTTTTACTCATTGCTATCTCTGAAACATCAATGGTCATATGAGTTGGTGATACTGGCTGTCCTGGCTTCGATGAAGGATCTTGTTGAGGCTGATCCTGCTTTGCATTGCGCTTTTTGAACGAGCCGGTTATACTAAAAAGATTAATCAAGCTTCTATTCTTTTTTCTTGCATTTCGTTGCATTTCTCTTTCGTAAAGTAGCAATAAAGACGCACGATGGTGGCCGTTGACAAGTGGTTTAAAGCTCTGGGATCTTGATAGGCCATAGTTTCCAGTAGGTCTTCTTCGAATGTCCTTATCAAATTCTTGCATCCAAAAGGGTTGAATGGGAACCGAACCCTTGAAGAGAGTAGCTGCACCATGAATGTACTTGGAGAATCGAGGAGCTTCAAAAACCAAGTGAGAATCGAGAAGGGCCGTGAGCCAAGCAGGGCATTCCTGACCCAGATGTGTCTGCAACTTGGTTTCCAGAATGGCGTAAGGGAATCGTGAGATATCGTTTTCGACAACATGGTTAAAAGGATAGTCAATACCAACGTCCTTACGCTTCCAATGAAGCTGTTTGGGGCCAATGAACTGTCGACGCTCGCTTCCGTCTTCGCGAATGAAGGTCAAATTGGAATCGATACTGATACGTAAACGTTGGTCTCCGGGTAGCTGAAATGCGGTACGATTATAAAAGACGCGGCACATGGGTTCCAATTCCTTTGCCTTGACAGATTCCTGAATACCCGAGGCAACAAAATGGTTTTCTTCCAGGACAGTCTCACTTCTTGCCTTACCATTTGCCTTCATTCGAAGGTCCTCCACCAGGTCATCTGCGGTGTATCGACCAGCCAGGTAGTCATTGATAAGCGTCTGCTTTAGCTTGAACCTATCTTTGACAGACTTGCCATCAAGCCAAGCGGCCTTGTGCGTCTTTCGTTCAACGTAGACGTCATCTTCGTTGTCACCGTACCAACGTAACCGAATAGCCTCTGCACCTGCTTCACGTTCAACTCGACCCAGGTAGAGATCAAACTGTTTGTTGTCAAAGTAAACACTTGAGACAGCCATATCACCTTCCTCGTACTGCTTCTTTTGATTGAACACATGGACTGGCAAGTGGAAGAGAATGACAGATTTGACTTCTGTGATATAGTCTGGGTGAATCCAGAATTTGGCAGTGGCTCGCTCAAATGCGGTCTGGTCATCTAGATTTTTATCTTGGGGGTTACGAGGGTTACCATGCAATCGACAGATATCAATAAGCTCCGAGATCTTGACGATCAAGATATCCACCTGTAACGACAATCGATCAAGCGAGTACCGAGAAAGCAGCTCTTTTCGAAACACACCCGAGAACTCGATCCGTGTGTGCTTGTCATGTTTCTTGTTCAATTTATCAAACCCTGTAGCGTTCAGGCACAGGAACTTGGAGAGGTCATTGCAGTCAAACAGGATCTCGGTCAATGTATCAGCTATATCGTCATATCGCTGCTTGGTCTCGGTCGACATCATCAGCTCTCTGATCATTACCTCAGTATGAAGAATGCGTTTATTCAAATCTCCAAGAGAATTGTCGATGAATTGATGCACCTTGATCAGTTCGTTTTCTATTTTTTGTCTGTACTCAGCTTCGTCTGTTGCGTTCCATCCATGTTCCATTTGACGTCGCTTCATTTCATGTTTGAGCTCATTGTACTCTATGTAGAATGATTCCCACGGAACGTGTATTTTCCCTTTGAGATTGTCGCCAAATTTCATTGAGCAGCTCTATAATTCTTTTCATTATGAAATATGTTAACATAAATTCCGTGTAAAATAGAAGGGTAAAAAACATACCTTGTGGTTTAAAAGTATTTACAAAAGTTGGAAAAAGGAAGGGGGAAAAGAAGAAGTAGAATGAGAGATCGTAAGAATTCAAATTCTTTTTCTATTTGACTTGGATACATTGTCTAATTGTATTTATGACATCAAATCAGAGACGCACTCATTGATATTCAAACTGAACTTCGTACCTTGAATATATCAAACATAAAAAAATGAGCGAGATGCGTTTTCCGAGAATTAATTAAAGTCTATATATCAAGCATTGAACCTGTTCATTCCATTCTACAAGTGTAAAAGAAATAGTATTGGACTTGTTTATTTAATTTACACATAAAGGATGTAGTATTGAATATTTAAAGATGATGAAATTTTTGGGAGCTTATAATATAGACTGTGATATTACATAAGCAAATCATTGCTGACTGGTCAAAATACGCATCATTTCATCCAACTGATCATCAACAGATAGCTCATCGCCAGGATGAGTTTCTTGTTGTTCCATCATTTTTAGCAAATTGGGTAGTGTTACTTCATTAGAATAATAGATATCAGTATCATTGTCGGCCAGGACTTGTCTCTTGGGTGATCGTTTGGGAATAGGAGGAGGTAATTCATCTTCCTCTACATACATATTATCTGGTGCAAAGAAGCTCTTACGGTTACCTTGTTGTTTGACGATACCCCAAATAACAGAACCGTCCGACATTTCTCGTAACTCGAGACCTTCCATGTACTCTTCCTTGGCTGGCACAGCCAGGTCATGTTCATCCATGCTTTTCAGCTGCCATCTCTTCTTGTCGTCCTCTGGGTTATTCACAACGCGCTTACGAACCGATGTCTGACGAACAATCTTGGTTGCCGTCACGTATTCCTTTGACCTGACTGTCTCGTCATCTGGAGAGAGCGAACCGTCAGAGACACGAGAACTGGCAATCTTGGTACCTTCCCCGCCGTTCTTGAGTAAATCATGAAGCGAATCTGGCTGAACATAGATGATCGTTCTCCTCACCACCTGGGCTCTATTCGTATTGTTTTCATTCATGTTTACAATTTTTGTGCTTGTGTTGCTGTTTCTGTGCCTAGCTGCTTTTGAAATTAATTGAGAAATCAGTCGACTCGTCGCACGCTTGGGTTCCTTTTCTTGTTGCTGTTCGTGTTGAATAACGGCCATGGCTGCTCTCGACATACCGCCATGAGTCGGTTTATGAGATGTGCTCATATTACGAACAAGGCCCTTGAAAGGTGACGAATGACCGCCGCTGCTTGTCGTCTTGCTTCGACTCACTTGGCGTAGACTGCCAAAGAGACTTCTAGAGGGACTCTTGACGGGTTTGATGTCTATTGCTTTCAGATTGTCCATACTAATTGATTTCCTTGGACTCTTGGCTTCCTCTTGTAGTACTGATTTTTTTCTATTCAGAGGGGTTTTTATAATCGTATTGCTTGTAGTCGATGTAGATCGTTTTATATTGGATTGAATAGAGGAGGTGCTCTTAGAACTTTTTAGATCCAAAACAGGCTGAGTTTTCGTTGTTGTTATTGTTGCTGCCGCTGCTAATGATGGGATCGGAGGTGGAGGTAATGATGGTGGTGCTATTGGTGATGGTATCTCCTGTTGCGGAGTAATAATAGGAGGACGAGGAGAAGAAGAAAAAGATGGATCTATGTTGGTCTCTACAGGATCATCAATTTCTATTAAAAGATCAATAGAATGATATAAAAAAGAGGTGATTTTCTTTTTGAGTACCTATTTTTTCACTCATCCCATCTTCTTCTTTTATCATGTGTGATGACACAGTACTTATCGTGCTTGATACACTGTTTGCAGCCGAATGATGATTTGATAGTTGAGGTACAATCTGTTCTTCTTCTTCTTCTTTAATAGTCTCATGGTGTGAAGGTTTTCTTTCTATAGAAGGTAAAGGAGATGGCTGTCGAATGACTAATAAAGACTCGGAGCTACCCATCTGTTTCCTTTGTTGTAATAGTGTCTCTAGCTGTTTTTCGTCCTCCTCTGTCATGATAATCGTGCTCTGGCGTGGTTGAATGACTGATAATCTATTATCATGCAAGTCTTTTGCAAATGAAGACAGATCAAACACTTTCTTTGGTTCATCTTCTATACGATGTACGATCGTTCGTTTCTTCTTTTTTGTATTTTTGCTGCTCTCTTCTGAAAAATCTTGAAAGAAATAATTTTCTTCCTCTGAGTCTGGTTCGTACAAGAGGGTTTCTTGTTCCTTAAAAAGTGTTACACATAATTCACTCATGTGCTATCTTTTGTACCTTTTCTTTTTCTTCTTCTTCTTCATGGTCCTCTTCTTGTTCAGATAGAGTAGACCTTTTGGTTGTTATTTTAGGTCTTCCTCGATGTTTACCACCAAATAACCCATTAGAAAATCTTTGGTTACGCTGATGTCTCCAAGCAGCTATTTGTTCATAATAGGTTGAACTATCTACTGTAGGTGACATGGGTGGACTGGTCTCTTCATTTTTTATCATCGGTGGTAGCTGTGTATCGAGATCTTTGTTGAGTTGTGGTAGCTGTGCGTCGAGATCTTTGTTGAGTTGAGGCAAGATGACAGAAGAACGAAAGTCATGAGCAAGTTGAATATCGTCCAAGAGTTGGTACTTGCTAATCTCTGGTATCGAAGTCTCAATTGCTTCCTTCTTTTGTTGTTCCTTTTGTTGTCTCTTCTTTTTACTCTTGAACATGAATTTATATTAACAAGTAAAAGAAGAAGGAAAAAGAATCCAGAATCAAGGCAGAAAAAAAAAGCATTTATTACCGTTGCACAAAATGTTTATTATTGTAGCTTACTTTTTTTTTTTTTTTTTGCTTTCTTTTTGAGAATTGATAACAGATTTTTTTTTTGCATGCATAGAAGCCAATGACAATGCAGGTTCAACACCTTTGAGAAGATATTTATTGTTTGTTCATATTGAGACTTGTAAAATTTAATGAACTATTTATTATAGATGTTACACTTAATTAAATAGTCTTTGATCTTTTCAATAAATAGAAACAGAAGGTGCCCCTGATGTAACCTGCCACGTTAAGATGTATTCATTAATCTTTTGCCTGCTCTTCTCTCTTCCTCTCTTGATACTCCTTTCCCCCCTTTCTCAGTAGTAAAGCTATACTGCATTCCCAAAAAACAATGACGCTGCTACTGAAACTGGATGTTGTGCTTTCCAAATCTAGATGTCTTATTGGAACCGTTGTAGTGTTATCAGAGTAATAACAAATACAAAAAGAATATGGCTCACTATCCCATTTGACAGTAATATTAATAGGTGGGCTGTCTTGGAGTTGAAATTAACTTAATATTAGAAATAGCCCTCTTTAATCTTTGTAAAAGTTTAAATTCTTTATTCGGTTTTTCCATGAAATTAACTAGTCAGTGTGTTCTTTATCCCTGAAACTGAAGTTATCGGAAATAGAATTTGTGGTTTTTAGGACTTTTTTTACCCTGAGACAAAAACTATTGGTAAAGAGGTGAGACTTGCTAAAAGTGTTTATGAAACGGACCAAAAAACTACAGCAAATTATCTATTCATATTTGTGCACAATTGTCTATCACAATGGTTCCACCGTCAATTGACCTAAAAAGGAAATTTATTGCTTACTTTGGTCAGAGATATTTCGATTGTCTATAGTTGCATTGGAGGTAGTTTAAAACGATTCGCTTTTACGATCTGCGTTCCCTTGAAGATCACCGTAAATTTGGAGGAGTAAAGTAGCAAAACTTTAATTCATGCCCCCTCTTTCGTCATATTTAGGAAAAGCTATCAACATGTTCCTAAATAGTATGTAATAAAGCAACCCTAGCTGCATGATACTTTAAGTCATTCATCCTTCACATCAAGTTACTATCTTTTTCATGGACTGATACAATGCACTTTTGAACAAAGAAAAGCACAATTTATATACAGTTATCCAAGAAAAAAAAGGGGGTAATATATAAATATATTATATTGCTATGTATTGAATGTCATTTATTTATTTTTATTTTTCAAGGAATTCGACTCTTCACCATCGAAAACCGATCCACAGTCTCCAAGGTATATTTAATAGGCTTTGAAAGTAAATGATCCTCAGGCTGACTCAAGTATTCATTCACTGATTTGCGATATTCATTTTCTTCTTTACTCATCTCCTTCACTTCTTGATCCTTTTTCATCTCTGCTTTATCTCGTTCTTCCATACTCAAATATCGTTTATACGCATATCCTAATAAATTCATACCAACAACTACCTTCAAAGCGAGTAGACTAATATAACGGTTAATGTTCTGTTTTGAAATGATGGGATTAACTTACATAATGGCCAAAACGCACACAAATAAGGTCCAAATCACAAATCGAATCAATCGATCCAATACATGCTCTAGCCAACCTGAGTTTACCATAGAGACCAATACTATCTGAAGCCGTACAGGTAGATATTGACTTAGTACATTCTGATAATAAAGAATGCTTGATGTAATGACTGAGGCAGCTGTTGTTCCGTTTCCGCCCTGTGACATAAACATCATTGGCAGTATTTGCTGCATCATACGAATATACTAGACGAGAATGAATATTCGATGAATAATATAACAAATAAATAATAATAATAAAAACACTTACCAGACATGCCAGTGGAAGCACAGGAAATCCAATCCTTCGCGAAACGACTGGTGATTGATCCACAAAGGCATGGTGTTTACCTGTCATTCGACCAGGGCTTCCAATAACAAGATCTTTACATAAGATGTCAATGTATTTCCCATAGATTGAGGGCCGTATCTGATTGAACTTGGTAATAAATGCATGCTTTAGCCAATCTACAAGCAGTTCAGAAGTAATCACCATGACGACTGGTGTCATAAGCGTGTTGAGTGATGTAGATGCAGGCAGTTTGAAAAGAGGCACGAACGTAGATGGTAAGATAGATGAAGGTCCTGATTCGGATAGCTCGATCACATTACGTAAGGTGATGATAAATAGAAAAGCAGATTGCTGAAACCTTTCGACAATATCTACATAAAAATGTTAACAACATCATTATATCCTATGTTTCTTTTATTACCACTGCAGGTCAATTGAAAGAGGTTTTCTTTTTCAAATCGTTTGAATACAGATTGTTTGATTTCGACAAACTGATTCGAGATGAGTAAAGAAAGCAAAGCATTCGAGTAAAAGTTGATGGCTACGTTTAGAGTTATCATTTGAAAGAAGAGGATAAGGGTATGCATAACTAGTTCCAATAGTTTAACTTTTTTTTCTTTTTGATAAGATCCATCACTTACCCATATAGCCTGCTGCCAGAATAAAGAAAGTGATTGGCTTGAGCTGTCTTTTAGCATAAGCAGCACCTTTGATGTCCTGCGGTGAATTACCCAAGGTTGATTTAGAAAACAAGGCATCCAGCACATCAACGCCTAAAGAACAGCATAATTTATCACAAATTTCCAGGACGTTCAATATAACATAGAGTTTCAATACAGCTTGACCACGAATGGAATGATAGACTCGAGAAGGATCAAAGATATTCATGAAGACACAAGTAATCATCACTAGGAATCCTTTGAGTAGATCGCATTTTTGAGAAGGCCGTAATCGCGTATAACTAGATACTTCATCAGTATAAACACACAATAGATTCTGAATTTACCTTTCTTTTTGTCCTACAATAAATGCTCTTGTGTTGTGAATGATAAAGATGATAAAATGATAAAAGGCCAAGCAGAATCGTAAAGGAAGTATAGTAAAGGTATATAAGAAAGAATCAAAGCATACAAATATTCCAAATCCCATCAACTATCATATCAAGGTCAGTTGTCAATCAACGCTATAGTTTTATTACCTTTTCTATTGCACCAGGTACACCCAAGAAATTGGTTACTCTCTCTCTTTTCAGTTCTTGTGCACTATCGAAATCAGCCACTGTCAACTCATCCTTCAAGTATTCCAAGAATGAAATCGGCTGTAATGACTCTTGTTGTTGTTCATTTGTCTGTTCTGATGGTTCTTCATCACTTTTATGCTGGTTTGCTTTTTTCTTTTTACTATTCTTTCTATTCTTTTTTATTGAACTCTTTGTTGTTGGAGACAAAGCGTCAAAGTGATTTTGTAATAAAGGCGTCGTTGGTACTGAGTGAGATTTTATTTTGGTCATCAAAGAATATATATTGCGTAAAGAAAAAGAATATCGTTTCACAGCTTTATTTTTTTCATAATGCAATGAGTGACAATGATATTATTTTTTTTTTTTTTTTTCTTTCTTGGCTTGATCTCTTTAAAAGCTTTCTATTTCTTTTAGCCAATTCGTGACGATATCAATCAATGGAGGCCGATGAACTATTTACCAAAACTGGCCACTCGATTGCGGACGGCCCTTTTTCACCATCCATAGGGGAAGTAGTCAAGACGGACCATAAATCGGTGAGTTGACTGATTCCTAATTGTGAAATCATTTATAAGGGAAAAAAAGATGGGCTCTTTTCAAGGTAAACTACTAATCTTTATTAAATAGTATTACGCCCATCAGGCTCATTTTGAAGAACTATTATGCCTCTATCTTATCAGAACCATAACCCATATGGTTCCAAGACATTGAGATTCAGTAAAATGGTGGTCACATATAAAATCCTCATTCAAGATTTCACCTGCATGCCATATTAGGATTAGTATTGCATTAACATACACTAAAGGAACAATGCTTAAAAAACGGAGATATGAACAGGATAATCGCCATATATATCAAGGGGGATCTGTCTTTCTGAACACGCGAATTTTCTACTTGTCGATGGTTCCTTTGTGTCTCTACTTTACACAGACAATGATTCAAATTTGTTTAAAAAAGGACACAAAGATGTGAAAGAATGATCTCGGTTGAATATACGATCCGCATCACATAAAATGTAAAACAAAAAGTAGGAGTTACTGTTGACATTTGGTACTAATTCTGGAAATAAAAATGAGATGCATGATACCTCTTTTTTTTTTTTCTTTTCTTTTCTTTTTTATTCTTTTATGAGTACTATTTCCTTTGATTTTGAAGACGATCTGGCTGACTTGCAGCGTTTTTATAGTAAAAGCAAAGTCATTGACCTTGAAAGTGTGGATGATGATGAGTGGAAACATGTTCGCCGTCAGTTAGTTACACCAGCCCCATCAGTGTGTTATGAAAGAGCGCTTTCAAGGTGTGAAAGTGTAATGCTGTTTAAAAAGATTAGTAACGGTAAGCTCTGAGCGTTGTAAGTGGCTGATACTGATGTCTGTTTTTTATTATTTTAGGTGAAAATGATGTAGAATGCCTGGATTTGGAATCAAATGACCTTAAAGACTTTATTGATAATCATTCAGTTTTAATGGATGATTATACTCATACGCCTACAAATATATCTGCAATTAGGTAATAATTTCATACATCATTTTCATATGAAAACTTAAGGATCATAGTAAACCATATCGTGTTGAACGAATGCAAGAAACGCAGAGAAAAATACCTAACAAACGATTAGAAGAATTACAGAAAAAGATAACCAACACTAGCATCAAGGCAGTAGAAAATGATAGAGTCAAAAGTATTCTTGCCAGGCGGTCATCCAATATCATAGAGTGTCCTCAGCGGAAAAGAAGGTCATTTGAAATGGAGCAACACAGGCAACCAATAGACACGGTGACACGAATTAAAAATAATGCCACCCGTACTATGGCAACGACGAGTCACCAGGAGAAGGGGCAGCGTCGAGAGACAAAGGTAGATCATGGCATACTGTTGTGATAATATGACTGATGCTTGTTTTAGAAGTCTGTGACTGATTCAGCAAGACAACTCTTGGCAACCATACAGGAACGAAGAAAGAATTCGATCGTCGTAGAAGGAAGGTTTCAATTGCTCAGCAAAAGCCACCACCACCAGACACAAGGACAGAGTAATCATAAAGAAAAATATTTTTCAAAGCGATTAGATACCCCACCAAAGAAGCAACCAGGTAACTAACAAATGAAGGAAAAAGGAAAGAGTATATTTATAGGCATACTAAGCATAAAAATAGAAAATGATTATCGAGCCTTTCTATTGTCAAGGTTACCACAACCTGTGAGTTCTTACAGATAATGTGTGTGTCAAACTGAAATAAAGTTTCAATGGAGTTTAAATTTATATGTATCAATGACCTATTTCTCTTTTCTCGTTGTCTCATCAGGGTAAATCAATAAGGAATGAGTAGGGTATTGTATAATTTTCTTGAGTTATGTTTTTATCATACCGTTTATTCCTTTTACTTTAGTTAAAGTAAAGGATATACTCTAGTAACGGATATTGTATGCAGTCCGGAAGCGCAGTTGCTATGAGTAATTTGTTGTGTAACTGGGAGCTTTCTTTTAATATCTCTCTTCTTTTTTTCTTCCTTCTCGTTTTTTTCTTTGTTTTCTTACAAGAATCTAGATGGAGACACCCTATTACACAGCAGCATCTTCCTCTTCGTCAAGTAATACTCAATCATTTAATATAACTTATCCACAGCAACAGCAACAGCAACAGCAACAACAACCTTATGTCATACGATATAACAGCAATAATAACAATGATCAAGCAACCAATATATACCATCCACCGGTAGATTTCTTTTTTGATCCAACCAATAGCACAACCAATACCAATATGGAATATACCACCGCTACCACCACCGCGGCAAATACCTATCAAACACCCACTGTAAGTTTTGTTTGATAACAAAAAGAGAGAAAGGAAGTAGGGGGGCAGGCCAATCTGATAATAATAACCATTTCTTTCTTCTGTTGTTACACATACATGTCATATTATAGTCTACAGTCACTACGGCTTCATCATCAAGCATAGATGACGATTATGTTCAAAATCTCTCAAATGAATTACAACATACTAAACAGCTACTAAAGCAATACCAAATACGTACAGAGCAATTGATGGAACTAGTAAAAAAACAGACCAACAAGATTACTGATTTACGTGAACAGCTTAAAGTTGCTCAACAGCATAACCAAAATCATGCACCGTCGTCTTCCAATACAACCAATGTTCCTCCCATTTCTTAAAATAAAAGCAATATATATTTATACGTAATTTACTCCAATTCTAAAAATATATCAAGGATATATTTATATCTTGTTTTACCATATTTTTTGGGTTTCTCTTTGTCACTTGAGCGTTCATTTTTCTTTCTTTTTTTTTTTTTCTTTTCTTTTATTTTCTTTCTAGTGTTTGCGTAGTTTTATTATTATTATTATTATTATTATTATTATTATTATTACTTTTATTGAATCAAGAAAAGAAAATAATGGCGTATAATAATCATGATGTACTTGACACCCTTTCTTCTACTTTACAGTCATCCAGCATAAACGATCACTGTCTAGCTGCAAAACCCATAGAACCAGCTGAATTAGGAAACAAACTCAATCATGTACCACCTCCACTCATGATTGATATGCGACCACTTGCTCACTTTGAAAAGTCTCATATCCGTCATTCAATCAACTTGGATTTACCTACCTTACTCGTCAAAAGATATCAACGTCGAGGTAATGTGGCTCAAAACTTCAACTTGGAGAACTTTATTACGACACACGAAGGTATTAATTACTTTAAGCAATGGATTGATCAGTTCAGCGGAGATTATGTGTTGCTACCAAAGGATGCTACTGTAGTCGTATATGATGACCATATGGTGGATTCCAGTACATGTTGGACTCTTATGAGTGTTATACTCAATAGTGGGTCATCAAAAAATGTATACTGGCTTCATCATGGATTTTCTGCCTTTAGAGATTGGGATACAAAGGGCAAGTATCTCTCAGATTCACCTTCACCTGCCTTCTCAAAGAGTACGCCTACCAAAGAAAGCGGCACTCCGATGCAAAGAAGATCAAGTCTGTTTAGTCTAGACACAAGGCGTCACCCTAAATCAAGACGCTTTCAACAGGATAATACCAAAGAGGAAGTTATCGTGGCTGACGATGCATTCAGCATAACAGAGATCGTACCCAATTTTTTATACCTTGGACCTGAAATTACATCACCAGAGCAACTGGACATACTCAAATCAAGATCGATCCGGAGAATCTTGAATATGGCCGAAGAATGCGATGATGATATACCCGGACTAAAGGAATCTTTTGTCTACTGCAAGATACCAGCAAGAGACACGGTAGAAATGAAAAATGTTCAAGACACACTGCGGACGGCCGTACAAGTTATCAGTAATTTAAACATTTTTTTTTTCTTCTGTGGGCTTGTCTGTTGCTTATAGCTTCCCTTTCCTCATCTGTTTTGTATAGATACTGCAAGACGACATTATGAACCGGTCTATGTGCATTGTAAAGCAGGCAAGTCAAGGTCAGTCGCCGTCATCTTGGCTTATCTTGTTCTCTCTGAAAAGTGGACTTTGAAAAGAGCTTACCAACTCATTGTCAAGGAAAGGCCTGGAGCATCACCCAATATTGGGTTTGTGGCAGAATTGTTAAAACTGGAACACAGTATTCATGGTAAAACAAGTAACTTTGCTGATATGCAGCGTGATGTTGCAAGAAAAGATACTATGTAGATATAATAAGACAAGTTTATTTTTATCAATAAAGAGGGTATATATATATTAAACACCTGTTGCACTGCGCCTTCGTTTTAGTGCATCATGGGGAGGAGATGTACTGTGGACGATGTTGGATGAAGATGCCATAAATGAGGGCCGTTTACGATTATCAACAGGAATGGAGGCTAGTCCTGAGTCGATGAAGTTTGGCTTCTTTTTATTACTTGCTTTCTGATTCTTCCAACATTCTACCTCTAGCTCATAATACTTCACTTGTGGTGCTAATCCATAAGGATTAGGGTCACTCTCGTCCACGATATGTTCGGTAATATGTGTGATTCGGGCTACGATCCATTCTGAGCTGTTTGTGGTGAATGTGGTGGCACCAGCAGGTGATAAAAAATAATAAGGTGATCCAATGTTAAAAGCTGCCCATGGCTTTCCACCCGAGTTGCGTGTGGGCAAGAATAGAGCGATGTCACCTACTTTGAAGCTATTTGATCTTATGTTAATGACTCTTGCAAGAAAGCTTCTTTCCTTTTGCTTACTTTCGAAAAGAAATCTTTTCACTTAATTTAGCTGATAATTTTATATATTTTTCTTTTTGTTTATACGATTAGATACTCGTTTTTCGATGTATGAGGTTTCTTTTTATACCTTTCAATTCCTTGTAGTCCTTTTTGTACTGTCTTGCTAATTCATGAACTTCTTTCACGCGCTTACGAAGTCGTCTAGTGATATTTTGATGATCAATGGACGATGCCAGTTGAAGGATTTCGTTCCACATGGCAGCATCATCTTCACTAGGTGTTATCTTTCTGGACAATATATTGAGCTCAGCCTCATCAGCGGGTATCTGGAACTGATTGATAATCTCATACAACATCATCTTGCGATAGTCCTCCAATTTTTCAGCCATACCAATAGCGATTGGTCTCCATTCTTGATGTGTCTCTAATAACTCTTGATACCTTTGATTTAAATCAGCCGCTTCCTGTTCCAAATTCTCATAATTCTATGCAAAAGCGGTTAATTTTAAGGGAAGTATTGAAAACATGTGATCACACCTCTTGTGTCAAGTTCGCTTGTGCAGTGAACTGATCCAAATTTTGCTGGAAAGCACGAATGATAGGCTCGAGATCGGTATTTTCCGTAATCTGCGCACCTTCACCCATATACCTCGATAAGAGCTCTGCAATCGCAGATCTCACTATCATTTGCTCATCTTTAATCCTTTTCAACTCTTCGTTCTTCATCGTCCAATCCTCTTGAGCTCTATTCACCATCATTCTTGTTTGTTGCTGGAGGAGCTTGATTTCATCTTTTGCTCTTTCACTTTCTGCAATTTCTGTCTGTAGCTCAGTCAAACGCTCCTCATACTTTTCTCGTTCTTCCTCTAATGACTGATTGACCGACGCTAAATCCTCACGCAATTGATCAACAAGTAATGCAAGCTCGCGCTTTTCATTGTTAATCGCTTCCACTTTTTCACGAAGCCGGGTATCATGTTCAAATCTAAGATCACTTATTTCTGCGTCGTGTCGAAGACGGAGTTCATTAAGAGTACGTGTTTCTTCTTCCAGAGCACGTTGCAAATCACTTATTTTACCTTTCCAATCTTCTTCGAGGCCTGCTATACGGATATCTGCTAAATTGTCTTTAATCTTGGCCTCATTCAACAACTAAAAGGCACAAAATGAGTCGTGGGATTATGCTTTACTTAGCCGTACTACTTACACTTTGTCGGTTATGCTCATAGGTTTGTCTTTCTTCTTCCAAAAGTTGCTCTAGTTCTTGAATTTGGAGCCTTTGGTCTTCCTTTTCATTTTCACATTGGTTCTTTTCTTGTTCCAACTACACAATATTGTAAGCAAGTGTTTTTTTTAATATATTTGCATACTTTTTGTAATGCTTTTTTCAATTCCTCAATTTCTTGCTTTTGTCGTTCATTGGTATCCTTCATCTCTAATAGTCTTTTTTCTGTATCTATCAATTTTGATTTCGTCTCCTCTGATGTCGTATCATTGCTGACAAGTGAGTAAGAGGTACTATATTTACTCTCACTGCGTAACTGGAGAGTTCGTTCTAGGGTTTGAATCTTTGCTTCATAGATCTACACAAAAATGGTATTGGTACTTTCTTTTATCTATTATCTATTACCTTTCTCTCGTCATCGGATAAGACTTGGCTCTCTATGTACAGCAGTTTAATGGTTAGCTTCTCTTTTAGATGATTATAAAACATACCTTTGTCCTCTCTCTTTGATGCATTTTTTATTCTTACCGAGTCAATACTTCCAGGTCCAAATACTACATAATAAAGTAAATATCATGGCTATTATTCAAAAAATAGAGCCCAGTTACAGTCAGATTCTATACTCTTTAAAAAGTCGGCCTTGAGGGAATCTAATTGTTTATACATCAATTTGAGAACACTATAAAGCTTTTCGTCTTCGTTGGTCTGTTGTGTGATCAATCGCTTTAAAGATTTGCTGCTACTGAGTGGACGTCGATTATATGAAGGTGATTGAGCATACGCTTGTCCCAAAAGCGAAATAAAGTCTATTATACAAAGTGAGATATGAATGTTGACCATCAAAAGGCTAGTTTACCTATAATATCTTTCTTTTGAAGTGTCATATCTGTCACAGGTGATACATTTGCTGTAATTTCACATTGCGGAGGTGAGTCATCCATGACTATATATATACGAAGGGCAAGTAATGAATAAGACAGTAAAATCTATTGTTTATTATTATTATTATTTACTTACTTGACATCTTGAGAGGAAGTATCTTGGCTATCTTTCGTCTAAAAAAATCTCTTCTCTGCTCTTCCTCATTTCTATATCTTGACATGATATCTGCTAATAGTGTTGCATTTTCAGCCAACAACTGAACGTATTCTCTTCTACGCACTATTTCAATCATTAAAGCACCCTATATGAAAATTAGTAAATGATGGTATATTGGACATGACCTCTCTTACATAACCAAACAGTATATCTCGAACGCTTCCAAGATCATATGTTTCGTATTTTTTCTTAAACTCATCCAGGTATTCTTTTGCTGAATTCAATCGTGGTTCTATTGAAGCAATCTCACTTTGAATTTGCGATACTGCGTTCATATACTTTATGAATTCCTGTATTGAGTTTCTCTTGGATATAGCCAATGTCGTCACTTTTTGGCGTATGAACTGTTCATAGCTGGCTAATTGAGGTAAATAGTTTTGAACATGATATTCAGCTAGATGACGAAAAGAGTCTAATGTTTTTTTAGAGTCATGCGATGGTTTGTTATTTGTTTGTTGTTGTTGTTGTTGTTGTGATGAATTTTGAATAGAAAGTGATGCAAATAGCTTTGTGATGGGTATATTAAGCATGCCTGCTATCTTATCAGATACTCTTCCTATATCTCTTTTTCTTGTATCTTTTAAATATTGCGCCTTTTTATAAAGTTGTTGTATATCTGCCAAGGTCGCATCCAAAATATGCAAATTGTTCTTGTTGGCAATGTCTGTCAAAACCTCTTGTTCGCACTGTTCAAGCTCAGCTATTTTGTCCAACATGTCCCTTATCTCTTGTGACAAGAAATCACATAATTTGATTGTATCTATTCTCACTTGCTCGATATATGCTTGATCCACAAAATCAATCAATTTTTCTTTGCTTTTATGTGAGAGGTTTAATTGATGTAATATCGTCGGATGAATACGAACGTGCTTTAGTATGTCAAGGTCATTCTGTAAAGACTGGATCAATGTTGACTGTCTCGTTCTTTCTTTCTCTGCTGCGGCGACAAAGGCCTTGACATTCGTATTGATTGATTTATTGTGTGCTTCCAAGTTGGTCATGGCTACGTTTAACGCCATTCGTTGTAGCTTTTGCTCATCCACCAATGTTTTCGCAAGTTGTGTGTGCGTTGCTGACGTCTTGATGAGCGACTATATATAAAAAAATGTTTAGAATCATATGAAAGTCATTATCGAGTGAGGGAGGGGATCGTATTCTTTATGTATCTAACCTGACTGTAATCATCAAAACTTGTGAATAATGATAGATATGATTCACAACTTTGGGAGACTGTACGGCTCTTTAATGACTTTTCTATTGACTTTAATGATTCACTGCCTTTTAATAATGGATTAGTTAGTATCCAAGGGAAACATACACATTATTCTATTACCATCAAATGCAGATATTCTTGGTTCCAATTTAGGAGTCTCTACATCTAATAGATTTGATATTTCTTCTGGAAGAGCGTCAAGATATTGTCGATCATAACAAAATAAAATGTATTCATTCTATTATTGAATTGTTTAAATAAAGATAAAAGCCGTAGGTATTCCTCGAGCTTACTTGGTCTGTTGCCTCTAGTATTTCTTTTAAATTGCTCTCTTTCACTTGTGTTCCAAAACTTGTCATCAATATTTGACTGTGCATAGGCACACCTATGCTACGCTCTAACTCAAGTTTCAAGTCATTTAGCCTAAGGAATATTTGTATATAAGCAAACTCGTCATTAGAATAGAAAAAAAAAAAAAAAAGAAGGGTGTCACTTTTACGAAGTAATATCTTTAGTTGACTGTAAGTTGACTTGTTGTCCTGTTTCTGCTCTATATATTTTCATTGCTTCTCTTCTAAATGCAATCTGCTAATGGTGAATAAATATACAAGAAAAAAAAAATTGCACAAAAATCTGGTTTTATGCAGGATAATCAAGTGGGATTTTTATTGGCCTCAGTACACAAGTCCATTGGCCGACTATCCCAACTTGCATTGATGACAAGTCACATAAAGAGCCGATGATGTATGAGTTGAACTGTTGCTATCTTGCTTTCGCTGTCTCTTTTGTGATCTATACAACATAATGTAGGATTATTGTTGTGGAATATACTGATATATTATGAATCTGATTGACAAAAGTTCATATCAACTGCTGAATGTCTACAGGAGTACTAGATCTTATCATTTTTGACATTTGCTTATTCTTTTATTATGATTCAAATAGCAAGACGGTATATGCTTTATCTAATGTGATTCAGATAAAGTTCTATAATGATAAAATATGTCGTTATCCTATCTTATAACGAAACTCGTTTGCTTTTTCTGTATCGCCATGTTTGGAATAAATAAGGGCCATCACTTGATACATATTGTCGTCAGGCTTAATACCGACTGCTATCATAGAATCATACATTTTTAGAGCAGACGAGAGGTCACGTTGACGATTACCATAAGAGTTGATCAAGACGACATAATGTCTTGCGTCAGGTGTGATATTACGTTGCTCCATCTCATGTAGTATATCCTTGGCTTTTTGCATATCATATGGTCGATAATAAGCATGTATTTCCAAGAGCAATCTATACGTATGTACGTTGGGCAACATGTCCGCTTTTTCAAGCAGCTGGTAGCACTCGAGTGCCTTTTGTTTATCTGATTTGTATCGAAGATAAAACTTCATCATCGTATTGATCGCTGGCGGGCTGATCTTGCCTGCTTCCTTCATTTCATCAAAGAAACGCATTGCGCTGTTTTGCGCCTTGCTTCTGACACAGGCGGAGATCACAGAAGCGTAAGTATTCTTGTTTGGCCTTATGCCCGACTTCTTCATGTCCTCAAAGATTGCAATAGCATCCTTTGGGCGTTTCAATCGACCAAACTTGGCTATCAGGGTGTTGTAAAAATACCTATTCCTTTCCATACCTTCACGCTTAATATCCTCATACAGGGCCCAGAGTTTATCATAGTTGTAGCTGACCGGTAAGCAGAGGAAATATTCAGCGTGGACACTGGCTGGGATCTGGACACGACGTGAGCGCAGACGTTCATAAAATCTTCTGGCAGATATAAAATCTCCCTCTTTTGCGTATCTTGACAAGAGTTCAATCTCTGGGTCAACAGGTGTGTCCTGTGGCTCTTGCTTCTTGTTATTTTGACCTTGTTGCTCCAGTTTCTTTTGGTCCTGATTCCGGTGCTTTTGATCTTTTTTCTTTGACTGTTTGCTCGGCTGCTTCTTTGGTTGGATATCAGTCAGATTCTGAAAAATAGATTGAGACAAATGAAGACATCTTATGGGAATCAAGGGACGTTGTAAAGTCTTTTGTGTTGATTGAAGTTGGCATCGGATCACTGTTTGCCTAAAAGTAAAAGTCCATGCTGATTTCAGCATGAGCGACATTTATACAAAAGACAGAAGTATAAAATGATTTTTTTCCCTACGCTCTTTTTCAAATCAAAGTCGCACACCCCCACCCATATTCTGAAGTTGTAGATTGCTCAATAATGGAAGCTCCCTTTCTTATAATATTTACCTCTGTTTCCAAAGGGGTATGAACATCCAAGCGGATAGAGCTGATGAAATATCGAATGGTTATGAGCAGCTTTTATTGAAAACTAACATATCATCTAATGCGATAGTAAAGTAGAAATGTATGCTCTACTAAAGATTATGTTTGAGTCATTAAAACGATCACCTCACTAAAAGTGCCATGCTTTTTGTTATCTGAATCAAACCATTTCTAACCTTGGCAACAGAAAGCCCTGCTCATAGCTGCATAGTACGGATACACTTTCCGATTAAAGTGATGGAAAGCGGAAAAAGAGTGCATTTAATTTGTCATCGTGCGGGACTTCAGAACTCGTGGGGCACGACTTTGCAAAAAGAGTATTAATGAGAGCACTGTTTGATACGATGTAAAGCTGGGTGTTATAGATCTGGATAAAGAGCCATTATCAATGACATGTGTAGTGTCTGGTATTGATCAAGCCTCTATTATATTATGCATACAGAATTACGGGTGATTACTATCTTATCTCTTTTCTTGCTAAAAGAACTCATGCCACTTTTGAACACGGCTTTATAACGAGCTCCCCTTATGATGAATGCAATGTTATTCTTGGCATTATCAACTCAGTTGCAGAATATACTTTGCCCCTTATCTGATATCCTTTAAACAGGTGATTTCATCGGGATCAAGCATGATACTGTTTTCTTCTTCTTTATGAAATGTCCTTTTTGTCAATTTAAAACATAACACAAGCATACAAAGGGAATATAACACAAATTATTCGCTTTTTAATAAACCCTACATATATAGCCTTTGTTGTACACTTTTGACTTATGGCTTACTGAGTAAAGCCCAAGTATAATAAATGCAATTGATACGAGAAAGAATTGCATAACGTAATATAAAGCACGACCACGCTCACCAACTCTGTACATTTATTAGTAAGCATAAAGGTAGCATGATCATTTCTTAGATATACTCCTTTTTGCGTCTACATAGTATTTTTACATCTGTAGCACGCTAAACAATGATACTTCCAAAAATAACATCAACCCTTTCTTGCTATTGTAGTAAAAATAATTTCATGATTTAGACAGCGATCATAAAAACAGACAAGCATTCACCCTCATTGAATGGTACGCAATTAGGAAAAGCAGTATCTTCATACTCAACTGTAAGAATGAATCAACTTGTTTTCAAAGTAGGACAATTCATCACAAAGGAGGGTATACCTGAAGTTTAGTGAAACTTACAAAATATACAGTGAGGGCTGTAGGAAATTATACAAAATGTGGGGTGTGGGAAATATCGGCTTTGAGTTGTAAACTGCTGAAATAGGTTTTGGGGTCAATTTAGAGCTCAGTTTAACTTCTTTATTACTTTTCTGCAAAGAGACAATTACAAAGAAAAGACAGAGACAGAGAGAGAGAGAGAAAGATGCCAAACATGTGTATAGCTCGATATCATTCTCTCTTTCTTGAGTGATATCAGATATGAAATAAATAATTCAGGAATCACCGGAATGATCCGTGGATGATCTCCCTTTTTTGTTAATAGAATGTGCAACCTACTTTGGAACACGCCACTGACAACAAAGGAGGCCAGCAGTCCTCCTGGTCTTAGTCATCTTTACTCTTATAACAGAATTGCGCAATAGGGATCCATGATCGGTTCAATAGAAAATACAGAAAAAAAAAAGATTGGGGAGTAGACATGTTATAATATCCCATTTTATTCATTTATCCAAGGCTCGCATTGATTCAGGGAAATCTAATTCGGTATTGGCCGGAGCCAGGCTGATGCTTAATTAAAAGATATAAAAAGACTCTCTCTGTTCAATAGAGTCCTAACTTATTTTTAAACTTTTTCTTATCCATATTTATTATGTCTCCATCTGTTGCTACAATTCCTACAACCATGTCAGGTTATGACAACGAAGGTAGAAAAAGTTCAATTGATATCTATTGGACCTGTTTATTTACCTTGTCCTTTACCCGTAGGCACTGCCACTGAATACTCTAAGCGTAAAGCCCTTGGTCTCACCGGTCTATTACCTTCTCGTGTTGAAACATTGGACATCCAAAGACGTCGTGCTCTTCAACAAGTGCGATCAAAATCGACTCCTCTAGAAAAATACATATTTTTGGCCCAGTTGCGATCATCCAATACTCGACTATTCTATAAATTGATTATGGACGACTTACAAGAATTTGCCCCCATTATCTATACGCCTACAGTAGGTACTGCATGCATTGAGTATTCCAATATCTATCCTTTCCTTGCTGCTCCTGGTATGCCTGACGGTCTGTACATTGACTCGACGGATCTGAATAACCTAAAGGAAGTCATTCTTAATTACCAGCCTGTACCTAACTTTGATCCTGAAATCGCAGTCATCACAGACGGCTCACGTATTCTTGGTCTAGGCGATCTTGGCTCAAACGGTATTGGTATCAGTATCGGCAAGCTTCAGTTGTACGTTGCTGGTGCTGGCATTGATCCTCGTCGTACACTGCCTATTGTACTAGACTTGGGCACCAATAACGAGAAATTGCGCAACGACGAATTTTATTTGGGCCTTCGTAAATCACGTCCTAGTGATGATGAAGTATAGTGTATTACGATATTTAAGAAATATACAACTTAACCCCTTTGTTCAGTTTTATAGCATTGTAGATACTGTACTTGAAACCCTTCATTCCGTATACCCTCAATTACTCATTCAATTTGAAGATTGGTCTAGTGAGCATGCGTTTGGTCTATTAGAGAAATACCAACACAAACTACTCTGTTTCAATGACGACATTCAAGGTACAGGTGCTGTCATCCTTTCAGGTGTTATCAATGCCATACGTCGAGTACAGCAAGAATCTCATGTGGATCCTCGTGACCATCGCATCGTCTTTTACGGTGCAGGTTCAGCAGCCATCGGTGTTGCTCGTCAGATCCAGACATACTTTGAAGCCGAACTTGGAATGACAGAAGAAGAAGCAAGAAAAGTGTTTTGGATTGTAGATTCCAAAGTAAAATTCGGAGAGAATATATACATATATATATTGTTTTGCTCATAGTTTATGATAGGGCCTTGTCACACTAGATCGAGGTGATCGACTTGCCCAACACAAGGTATATTATGCACGACAAGACAATGACGGTCAGCAATTCAAGGATTTGATGGATATTATAAACCATGTCAAACCCACAGCGTAAGTTTATGGTATACATATATGTATGCTTGTCATATGTCTAATGTTTTTATTCTAGTCTCATCGGTCTTTCTTCCATTCCAGGCGCCTTCCACAAACAAGCGTTGGCACGATTAGCCGAACTAAATGAGCAACCGATTGTCTTTCCATTATCGAATCCAGCAACGCAAGCCGAATGTACATTTGCAGAGGCAATGGAAGCTACTGAAAATCGAGTGATCTTTGCTTCTGGTACTGCATTTCCTAGTTACACGATCCCATCCACAGGCCAAGTCTGTATTCCTGGCCAAGGAAACAACATGTATATATTCCCTGGCTTAGGGCTTGGCGCCGTATTGGCACAACCAAAGCATATCTCTGATAAAATGATCTATGCTGCTTCTAAGGCACTTGCTGATTCATTAACTTCTGAAGAAATTCATCAAAAGTGGCTTTACCCGTCACTTGTCCGTATCCGCGAAGTATCGAATGCAGTTGCAACTGCAGTCATTGAAGAATCCATACATGAAGGTCTCTCAGAGAATGAAACACTCAAGGATCTCACACATGAAGAATTAGTAGACTATGTATCCAATAACATGTGGTCTCCAGTCAATGAAACGTATGGTATCGTTGACGCGTCTATTTAAATAAAATAAAAATGCTTTATTTACACAAGAAATAATAGCAATGGGTTTCAAGTGATTTTCTATCATGTGAATCATGTGTGTGTGTTTGCCTGCTTATCTCTTTAAGAAAAAAAATGACAAATGTCTCGCTTTTAAAAAGAAATCAATGCTTTGTTCTATGCTTTCTCAGAATTGACTTTATGTTGCAGATGAATACATTAGTTTGGAAACAAATTATGCAGCAATGAAAAAAAAGATGGATGATTTATGACGAATGCAGCAGTTGTTTAAAATTGCATCAAAGCATGATATTCTAAAAGAGGATACCAATTGCATCAACTTAATCATCTTTTTCATATATAGAACACACCTTGATATTAATATGAATCAGATCATGAAATTCCAATTTGGACTCAGCGGTCTATTGGAGATAAACAGCGCACGCAGTGTGCTTATGCTTTTTATGGAACTTGATCTCTCATTTGACGAATCAACCGCCAATCATCTGCTGCGGTATTTTATGAAAATTAACTCAATTTTATTTATAAAGCAAGAAGGATAAAGAAAAAATTTTTTTACATCTTTATTTCTTTAACACACAAAAAAAAGAATAGAAGAAAGGAAAAAAGAAAGATATCATTCTTTATTTTCCTTTGTCAAAAAGCTATTTTTTTCTTTATAAACTTATGCATTATATCCTTCAACTGTTAACACCTCAGATTCCTAACGTACTTTGCGGCGGCTGTGCAGCATTCTCATTTACCATTGCTCAATATCCTCAAGACTCTGATCCCGGATAATTACTATTATAAACCATGGTCAATCAACGTACTGGATCTCCACTCGGACGTATGCTCTCACTGATCGAAGTTCCATCTGTCTCTCTCAAATTCCTCATTCTTGACTGTCCAACTGAAAGCACTTTACCTTATTATCTCGAAGAATTCAAGCGAAATCAAGTTCGACATATCGTTCGATGTTGTCAACCTACTTATAATACATCTCTATTACAACAAGAAGGCATTCAAGTGCATGATCTACCTTTTAAAGATGGTGGCGTTGTAAGTAGTAGTAATAATAATAAATCACTTCTATTTATACTAATGCTCCTTAGCCTCCCGTTCAAGTCGTTCATGACTGGTTACACCTGATCGATACCGAGGAACGTAAACAGGAATCCGTCACAATTGCCGTTCACTGTGTGGCCGGATTGGGACGAGCACCTGTGTTGGTAGCAATTGCACTGATTGAATTTGGTATGGAACCCTTGGATGCCATCGAATATATTAGAAGAAAGAGAAGAGGTGCTTTTAATAAGCCCCAGATTGCTTATCTTGATCAATACAAGCGTACTCTTCGTACTAAATCAAATCATAATTTCAAAATGTCATTCAGCCGAATGTTCAAATTTGGAAAGAAACAGCAAGAGCCACCTTCTTCTATTCCACTTAGTAGCTATGTCTAATAAATCATCATAATAATAAATCTAACCAATCAAATAAATAAAATGGCATTTCTAAATTTATCCTCTTTTTTTTCCTTCTTTCTCTTTTTTTTTTGTTTATAGATGAATAACAACAACAACAGTAAAAAGCCAGTTCAGCCAAATAAGGAAAACGATAAAGAAGCGGGCAATATGTAATAAAAAGAACCATTACGTAACATTAGTCTAATACTAAATAGTCTATTCAAGAGATTATTGTCTGACAAACTAAATACGATCGATGATCTAAAGCATGCTCAGGCCAACTTGGAAAAGAATATGAAATACACTCATAAACCCTCAAAGGCAACACTGGTAACAAAAACACTAATATAAATATTTTGAAATAGACACACGCTGATCATATCTCAGGCATTCACATTGGCTGAAGATTTAATAAACGAGTGCATCTATAACGTTGTCATGGATGCACATCGAGAAATAAAAAAAGAAAACAGCATCTGTCAAATATGCCAAACAAAGTAAGTTTGTATATACATGCATTTTTTTTTTCTAATTAATCTTTTTTTTTTTTTTTTTTTTTTTTTTTTGTTCTTAGATGCAAGCATTATGGTAAGTGAAAGATAAAGAAATTGTTACAATACAGCTTAATGAAATAATAATAAGTCAAAAAACCTGGACTGGACATTTGGGGGAAGAGTTATAATGCTAGTACTTTACCCTTTTATGAATGTGCAAACTGTCAAAAGTCAATATCGGCTACAAGATATGCTCCTCATCTAGAGAAATGCTTGGGTCTATCAGGTAGACAGTCTAGTCGTGTGGCTAGTAGGAGGATACAGAATGCAGAGGTAATATTGAATTTCATTATTTTTTACTTATACTCACTTACGACTTTAGAATGCATATAATAAAAAGATGACGCTTTCCGAATAAAGCGAACAAAGAGGCATAAAACAGATATAATATAACTAATAAACTTTTGAACCATGATGTTAATCAACTAAAATTTCAAATGCACCGTTTCTTATTACTCTTCTTGTGTATCATTGCTACTCATCACACTTTTGCTTTTTGTATTTATAATACATCCAAGCATGCTTCCTTATTCATTTGGCAATTTCCGTTGAACACAGGTGCTAACGTGTTCAAGTAAGTTGTATAAAAATTGATAAAGAATGTACAAAAACTAAATGATTTCTATAGGCGTTTCAAGAGAGAAGATTTGAAACCAGGTGAAAGTGCTTGTTGTCCCTATACTGTCTATGATTGTGTCAAATCAGGCAATAAGGGTGACATTGTTGATTTTGCAGTAGGTATCTCCTTTATCATATATATTCATAAACTAACATGACAATCTAGTTTCATACTAAAGTCAATGGTGTCCAAAGTGATTCCTTTACTCTGACTGTCCCTGGCGGTGGATGGCTTAATGTTAACGGAGATGACAGATTTGACCTTAGTTACGAAGCATTTAATCCTGATGGTAGCCATTTTAATTCTCAGTATTTAAAGGGTGTTCACTACACGTTTAACTAGTATGCGTAGATAGTAGCTATACTACATTACTTAAAGTGTTTATTACATGTTTAACTAGTTTAGAATATTAAAGTATATATGTATATTTTTAATGATCAAGCTTTAAATTTCGAATAGGAGGCAGTTTAACGTCCTCTGGTATTTCTGCTGTTGTTGTGCTAGAACTGTTTATTCCAGGTACCATCTTTAGTCGATCAATCCATAATTCAGCTCGATCGACGGTATCGGAAAAGATAGTTTCCACAGAGTTCAACATTTCAATAGATTCTTGACCAAATGTCAATAATTTGATCGCTGCCTCCTCTTGTTTATTGTGATCGGGCGTGCCTGGACCTGGTGAGGATAAGGTAGATGTGGGCAGTAGCATGGGTGATAGAGCGGGTGAGGTGGTTGTTGAGTGAATATCGTTGAGTGTAGCCTATGAAATGGTTAGTTGCAAAATAGTATAGAATAAGGTTGATCTTACCCATCTTTCTGGTAAATTAAGAATAAATCCTCTAACGGTTTGTCTTGCTTGTGATGGTAAAGATGCACCAGCATATTTACTAATGACTTCAACTACTTTTCTTAGTGTATGGACAATGTCTCTTTTAATAGATGATAGCACTGAACTTCTTTGATGAGATGTGGTCCTTTGGTGAGGCGTGGCTAATAGTCGATTAGACTGTGCTGCTGATACCAAATAATTCTTGATTAATGTCATTTGCTGCTCAATATGTTGTATGGCATATTGTAGCCAATAAAGGCAGTATTTTAAGCACTTCATACTTTCTTCACTAATAATAGCTGCAGTTGTTCCTGCTGCTGAACTAGCTCCGACTACAATTTGTTGCCATTTACTACTATTGTGCTTTTGATACGGTTCTGTTCTAACTGGCTTATTGTGTCGATGTTTATTCATATTGTTGGACATTTCTTTAAAGAAAAAGAAAAAAGAGAAGAAAAAAAGATAAATTTCGAATTTATCATGATACTTTGACATATTTTCACGTGAACATGGAATCATATGAAAAAAAAAAAAAAAAAGCTTGTTGAAAATCATGTTCCTGTTGCATGTTCTACAATACCAAATATAATACAAAGAAGCTGAAGCATTGTTGCAGTTTTCTATAGTGTATTCCAACACATCTTTTTCATCTTGTCTGACAACATGACGGCATATTTAATCTGTTTAAATGATGGGTAACCATATCAACTGAGAAACAAGTTACTAGGCAGCAGTTGTCTAGTAACAAGCTCCCTCTTTCCTCCCCCTTTCTTTGTATACCTAATCTCACCCCCTTTCCTTCTCCTTATCTCCTTCATCTATAGTGTGCGCGCGCATAATTGTCCACTGATTTCTCTCTCCGAACAACTTAATTTTTTCATGATACACACACATTGTATACTTTTTTACCAAAATGATGTTGCAAACAAAGAAAAAAAAAAGTTGGTAACTATAACAAAGAGAAGACAAAAGGGTGTGGTTAAAGTCTTAGAAACTGCGTTTTATTCTTGGTGATATAAATTAAAAGTGTTCTACTGCTTCTCTTTTAAAGACGTGCAAGATCTTTTTGCTGAATATAAAACAAGAGGACAGAAATGCTGTTATTTGAAAATCATGAGCGAGGAATCGCCATATTCTTTGTCTTTGGCTGCGTCAATGTTACCAATTTATTTATTTATCATTGAGACACATATTGCGGAGTGGTGTGACTAGATTGTTGTAGAATGTAAACGAGAAATAGATGGAGCATAGGAAACACAAAGAGTGAAAGAAGGAAAATAAACGTAATTATTCGATTTCTCTGTAGCCACACTGAGCTAGTGTTCGTAATATGCAGAAATTTAGTAAAACCCAAAGCTTTTTTTTTTTGGATCAAGTAAAATTATCAGACATCTTCTTTACCTGTAACAATCTTTATCCCAAAAGGGAATCCGTGTTCATTACGGCGATTTTAAAAAACATTTAATTTCTTCTATACTTAGAAGGCCAGCCTCTTCCATCCCAAATCGAAAGAGAAATAGACAGCATATTCTTACAAGCGTTGGCATCTCGCTGCCATAATGTCTTGCAGGTGTTACAAGCCAGAACACTACAATCTTTCAATCAGACATTCTTGTAAGGTGATCGTTAATACATACATTGCAAATCTTTAAGGTCTTGTATTCATCAATTGAAATGGCGATGAGATCTCCAGCTGCTTCTCTTCTTTTTAACGCTCGCCAAAAGACACCAGTAACACTGCACCTGTTTCCCTTTAGCTTTATCGAGTCTTTTCCAAACATCTCCGCACCAAAAACTCCAAGAGGCACTTTCTCTCTTTCCATTTGGAGCTACATGGGCTTCTACTTTTGGTTTGTTTAAAACAATAATTAGATAAGACCTGATTGTCAAAGCTAAAATTGATTACATTCCTGTTTTTGGCAATTTGACTTTTTTTCTTTTGGATTTGCCGCTAGTTTTTGTTTCTTCTTGCTTCTTTTTTCTTCCTGTTTCTCTTCTTTTTCTTCTTATTATACTTGGTACCTCCATGAGCAAGCAATGGGGTGATAATTTGGAGCTGCTTTCATGCAAATAGTTTTGGCCCATTGGTCTTAGTTGACAGTACAGTTGATCAAGACAAATATATAAATATTTTAGCCAAAAATTTTCATCCTGAATCGCAGAGCTCTGCTAGAAAGGAGATAGAGACTTTATATTCCAAGAGAATGGAGCTAGCTTCCACAACTGGCGGTTATGCTCAATAGTGGAAGGAAGCCCACCAGATCAAGGACTTTGAGTACTGACCTGTGCAAAGGCATTTTGAACCCAATGGAGCATGTTTGGGCCATTTTGGGAAATCTTATCAAGTAAAAAAGAAATGAGATAAGAGATACTGAAGAGTTGCGTATTGTACTGAGAGAAAAGCGAGAGAAAACAAGCCCTGGGTTAACGGCATGTTTGGTCGGAAGCATAAAGGTTCGATGTGAGGCAGTAATTGCTGAAAAAGGAGGATCGACGAAATATTGATTTTTCTTTTTATTTTATACTCTTTCAATAAACATGGAGCCTCCAAACACTGAACAGAAAGAACAATGGCTTTCCAAACATTTGATGCATAATTTGCGGAAGATTAATTTACATCGTATTATTTTGAATAGCTAAAGCGCGGCTTGAACAGATAATATCATATCTGGAGTCCGACTTGAATCAACTGGGAATTGGTGTAGGCACGACGCTCTCTGTATTTTCTTTTAGAACCATGGAATCCTTTTATAGACAATTTATTGACATCTTTTCTACTCTTCCTGAAGGTTACTTGCCTAAATGGCTCTTGTTTACATCTGCTCTTGGTATCTTCAACTCTATTCAGAACTTTTGTACTGATACGCTCACGAAGCGCGTTTATGCGAATAAACCTCATGAAGGTAACTTTTTTATTTCATCGTACTAGTTCTCTCTTCGCTCATTCTCTATTTCAGTCACACCACTCAGTGGTCGTCTCTTTGCTACCTGGACATGGTCTGTCAGTATGATTCGCATCTATGCCGCTTTTCATCTTGAACATAGATTGTAAGAGATTTACTTTTACTTTTATTCTAATTAATCTCTCTCTTTCTTTAGCATGTACAATCTCGCCATTTGGACATATGTCATTGCCTTAACTCATTACGCTGGTGAGTTACTCGTATTTAAGGGCTGCAAACTGAATGGTCCTTTCATGTCACCCTTATTTGTTGCAGGTCAGTTTTATTTTTAAAAGAAAGCGTTTCATACTAAAGCCTCAATAGTTTCATCGCTTTTTTATTTGATTCAAGTCAAGGAAGAATACATCAAGTTTGACTAGAATGAAATAAAAAGTTTACTGTAGCAAGTCCATTGAGTATGGATTACTCGACTGTGAAGACACGATACGAGGCGCACCTGTAGCAGCATTATAACTCCAATCGTTTAGTTGTGCTTGAGGTGGAACGGGAGAAGGTTGATAGGGTTCTTGTTGAACCATTGTCCATGACTGTTGTTGCTGTTGTTGCTGTTGCTGTTGTGTTAAATATGTTTGTTCGGATCGTTTTTGAAGTGCAGGAGATGGAATGAGGTGTCGTGGCTTATAGCGACTGATAAATGACGTTGGGCTCTTGTGATAAACAGAGGCTAAAGAGCCAATGTGGAGTAATAGCTCATCCAGAAAGTGGGGGTCGAGATTATCGCTTTCTGTCGTGATGGCAGGTTTGTCGGATAAAACGACAGCCTATGTATCATGGTCATTTAGTTTGAGAAGGGGAACATACAAGCGAATGTTGCTTACCTTGGCTGCAGCTGGATCTGTGGAAAGCAGACGCCAGTATATATATCCGCGATCACGTAAATCGGGATTATCCACTTCCTCCGTTGCCCACTTCAGCACCTTGGGCACAAGTTCTTGTCCAGCTGTGGGTCGCTGAACAAATAGCTTGACTGTTGCTGTGAGTAATGCCAATTGTACCTACAAAACGTTCATTTCAATACACAAGACTCTGGCGGTCATGTCTCTTTTTACCTCATGAGGTTCTTCAAGAAATGTATATAAAAAGTCATCCAATAACTGATCAGCATTTTCAATTCTATCCGCATACTGTCCAATGATCCATATCATGGATGCCTTTGCTTCAGGCTCATCCAGGTCATCCAAATTTTCACATAATGTAGAGATAATGCTTTCATATTGATTGGGATATTTTCTAAATATATCCTATATTTCTAATTAGTTTTCTTGTCATTCCTTTGCTGCAGCTTAGTTCTTTTTTTTTTTTACCCTAATGACTATAATAGCCTCTTGAACAACATAGTTTACTTTGGTTTGAATCAATTCCAAAAGAGCAGTAATGCATTTATCAGCTGCTGTTTCAATCTTGACAGCCAATCGGCCAATGGCTCTAACTGCCTTTCGAACAAAATCGACATCTACCTCTGCAGCATATCTATCATCAAGGGGTTTATGTCTTGTATTTTTCTTATAATGAAGCGACTTACTCTTTCAGTTCATGGAGTACCATATCAACATTTCGTTCATTCGCTAACCTAAATATGATCTCTAACTTTCCTAGCTTTACACAGATAGGATCGTCATATTTACAGAAAAAGACTTTGATATCGTTCTTTAAGATCTCTGGTCTTCTTTGGATTATCAACTGTATGTTACGAAGTGCCACATATTGTACTTCATATCCAGAGGCGAGTAAGGTGACTGTAACAAAGGGACATGAATAAAAAATAGCTGTTTTGATGTATGTAAGCTATACCTAATGGAGGCGCCAATTTACGACATAGCTGATTGATCTCCTCTTCATTACTCATATAGTTCATAAGATACATTATGACCTTGGTTGTCGTAAGCACAACGGCTGAATTTGCATGCTGAAGACGAGGTGATATACGTTCAGCTAGCATTTCTGCATCTCCAGCATCCTGAGGTACATAGTACATGAGTGCTTCCAGTATATAAGTCTGTCCCCATCTAACCTGATCATTAACTAGTCGACTACAAACACAACGCTATCTCTGATACTTACTCTGAGCATTCTCCTAGAGCAGCTACCAGCTTACTTGCTGTAGAATGATTGAGTCGCAGTTGAATGTTATCAGATCGTTCAGATATCTCCGTTAAAGCTGCCACGGCACTAGCTACTACCTATGATAATAAATAAGTTCCACCATAGGGGTAACTATATATGGAATATGCACATACTGTCGGATTAGGGTCAGCCAATAAGTCTCTTAGCATATCAACAAAGTGCTCGCTCTCTACCAGGACTTTATCATACATGTATAGCTTGGCCACGCATATAGCAGCTGTCTTTCTTACATAAGGATCTCTATCTTTTAAGCTGTGTCGGAGTGGATCAACGAGTACATCAACAATCTTTTCGACCTGGATATAACCCATAGTACGTATGGCCAAGGCTCTTATTAATGGATTAGGGTCCTCTACGTCCTTTTGTGTATACATATAAGTAAGAGAAATTAATCATTTGCTTTTGTTCCTTTTACTTTGATAAACATAGATATGGCCATCACTGCCATATCAGGTTTTGTTCGTGCGTAATTGATGATGTAAAGGTAAACCATTTTCTTAATTTCAAGTACAGGTACTTGCATTACATTAAGAATATCCGGGAAGAGTGGTGACATGTCGTTTCCCATGGTCATATTGGCGACAATTTTCTTCATCACTGTCTTCTTTCGTTGATGCTTTTGATCACGCTTTTCAGAGGTAAGTTCTGCTCGAAGCTCTTGAATTTTTCCTACATGAAAAAAAAAAAAAACAAGATTAGTCAAAGAAAGAAAGAGAAAGTAGTGTGTATATATATGTATACCCCTTTGAAAATACTTGGCATCAGACATTGTATAGATGAAGTACAGAAAAAAGGACAGACTGATAATTTAATTCTGTCTTTCTCTCTTTTTCAACCAGCCAATCATATTCATTTGTCTGCTTCTTTGATAGACCTGTTTAGAGTTGCCCAAAGGTCCAAGTAAATATAATGACAACATGTTATTGATCCTGTTACTGTAAATACTAAGCAGGTAAACCATCTTGAACATCATTGATTTGTATCTTGTATAACTAATGTAGGTTGGATATATGATCAAATGCGATATCTATCCTCTAAATAGGCGATTTTTTTAGTCATGCATCCAGCATAACTGGCTTAAATTTGTATGAATGCACAATAGGTTGACTTGTTTGACAACCAACAGTTTATTATAGAATGCACAATTTTTGTGGAAGCTAATCTTTAAGGAAGCTATACGAGCCATGCTTTTTTTCTTCCATTCGCTATGCTTTTTGTCGAAGGTAAGTGACGAAATAGTGATTCGCATTGGTTTACTTCTTCGATTGGTGCCGTGGTAACCTCATCTCGTTCAAGGAGTAGCATATTCTTTAATACAGTTTTAATGACGTATTACTATCTTTTTTATTTATGTAAATTGTCGACACATTTTATTATCTTGTTCAAAGGATACAAGAGGGATGCAATGATATCCATTGTGTAGAAGAATCAAAACGACGAAAAGCCTAAATGTGCAGGAATAAATGTAAGCCACATAATTATTACAAATTTAAAATACTATTACCCTTCACAAGGAACGACCTATAAGAAAGACCAAATTAGAATATCGAATGAAGCTTAAAAATGAATCTTACTATCGTATGAGCATACTGTGCTCGTCAAGTGATCTCTTGCAGGAACGAAGGGCCATGAAAGTTTGCTGAAGGTATCAGTGTTGAATTGACTGATTTAAGGTTGGGCAAATGGTGGAAGAGGAGAGCCTATCAAACACTGAGTCAAACCAGACAAACCGATTGCCAGCGAAGACAGCGCACCTTGAGACTTGGCTGATTTCCCAGACTTTACAGCCACACATTTTGGACTCACGCACATTAAGGTGTCCTTGATTTCTTGTGACACTCGTTTATTCTTCTTTGTCAACATAGATTTTGGATGGCAAAGCTTCTGGTAGCAATATATACATGTTTGTGATGCCATATGTTCATTTGTAATGCACGCATTGACATATTTACCGTGCAGCTTTTCCTTCCACTACCTCCGTATCTGCGAAACCCTTTGATACGTGCTCCGACACCAGTGCCACGATCCCCAATGAACATAAGCAGCTGCTTTTTATCAGCACCAGTGTTAGGCTTTGGTCAAGAACTTTTGCTCTTGTGCTATTATCTTGTCCAAGTGCTTTTTTTTCTGGATCTCGAGGCTTCGTAATCTGCTGGCTCTGTTTGAACCGCTAAAGCTTCTCAGCTTTTTCGAGCAATCCTCGTAAACACGATAATCCTGCTGAAATTCTTCAACATTGTTGCTAGCTGAGAAGGATACTTTCTCCAACTTGGCTTCTAAAGTAGAAACATCTTTTTTCTGAGATGTCTTTTTCTTTAACCACTCTAGATGCTTTCTATTCTTCCTGTGCATACAATATCAATTTCATTCGCATTGATAGCTTTTGGCTGTGATAAGTCCAAGAAAACTGTTTCTTCATCTTTTATATCAATGCCAGGCTCTTGCAAGACGTGATAGCGATTGTACAGTTGAATATGGAATTAGAACCGTTGATAAGTGAAAGGCACGCTTGTCGACAAGGCTACTAATCCATTATCAGTACCGGAGAAAGACAAATCGTTCACGTTGTCAATCAGACAATCTGTAGCATTGAAGACATCAATTGTTTGGAAGTTGATTTTGATTAAATCATCATTTTTTTCTTGTCTACTTCTCTTCACTTGTTCCTGAATCTCCTTATCAAATTGAAAAGTCATTCTTTTGCAATATAAATCCTGTTTTAAGCTTGACATAAGACTGCGACAATTGATTATCTCTATGCGATACTGATTTCGTTCCTCTTTCAAGCATTTCATATCGTGTCACGTACTTTCCCGTTCATCTCTCGTCAGCAGAAATTTAAATCTATTTTTAAGTTGCTTGATCCTAGCACCAAGGACAACTTCCTGATCAGATTTTTGCAGCTTTTCTAGTGTAGCTTAGGCTTTGTTAAGCTCTTGCTGTGAATTAATGATTTTGGCTTGTAGAATGGCAAGCCCCTCCTAATGTTGTTCTACGACATTCGAGCCTTGGACTATCTTCTGCGCATACGACAGTGATTTCTTCAATGAAAGGACAAAATGTTCTTTTGTTGTAGTTCCTAGAATTCTTGCGGTCTTTAACCCTAGTAGAATCTGTATGTTGTGGGCTAATTTATATGAATTGCAGGAATTTGTGATTTCGTTCATATCAAAGATGGAACAGAATACTGTGTCCTTGTTAGACTGAGCATATTCGATCGAACCGATTGCCTTTTAGTTAAAATCCGAGATAAGCAATGTATCTGAACCTGATGTCATCATTTGATATAAGGATAGTGCATTGACTTGTAAGGCGTTCAAATACGAGAGGTATGGTAGAGAAAAGAGCTGACGAGTAAATTTTACGTATCCTGTCGCTCACAGAATGTTGTTTGCAAGGATGCAAAGGGGAATTTAACGCGCTACAACAAAGTGGTTTTGTTTATCAGGGATGTAAGGCTGTAATGTTTGAGCTATTAACGTCAGTATTTGTAGCTCTCGTTGGATGTCATTTCTAGTGACATCTGTGCAAGATGAAAAAAGATGATTTGCAGCTGATTTTAAACAAGATAGACGGCTTCTACTGGCATCATTTTTATATTTCTTGCTGGCTTCATTCGCTGCTACGTCTCTAGCATCAGACTACATAAATAAATAATTAATTTTCTATTCCTTTTGTTTTTGTACGAAATCTTACCGAAACTGTTTTCTTTGGTAAACCTTTGATGTACGTTATTCTATCATGACCTCGTGTTATTCTTCTTACATAACGTTGCATTTTATCTTCATCGTCAAGATTCTCTAATTTACGTTCTAATGTATTGATTTTTTTGTATTCTGAGCGAAGAACATGTCGTTTGTGGTCAATTGTAGAAAGCGTACTGCTTACTGATGATGTTACCACTGTTGTCGATTTTGATTTCTCTTTGATGTTTTTGATATATTCGCTGTATTCTGCAGCCTTGTTTTCAGCCAAGCGTAATTTTAATAAAACATTCAAAAGATTATCTAGAAGTTTTTTAAATATGATATCATCACTCCAGATATTCTTAATGTTTGTAACTATAAAGGCCAAAGCTATCGACATTTCCTCATTGTGGAGTTCTTTCTGATGATATGAACCTTTTGTAATGTTTAATTTTTTGAACATGGCACTCTCAACAGGATGTTTTTCCGGTTTTTTGGTTTGGGCTTTTCGCTCCAAAGTAATAAGAATGTATCAAATTTAGGTGTTGCTCTGTAAAGAGCAAAGAAAGCTCTTGTGAAAGAAATTCTATTGCTTCTGTTGATAGAGGCAAAGCTAACAATATTGACGCCATCTGATTCTGTTCAACAAACTTGGACGGCAGTAGTTTTCGGATGTCATACCTTTGCGTCTCTTATAGCACCACTTGGCCATTTCTTGTGATAAATATATGGTTTTTATTCTCAAGGCCATCATTTGTATAATAGAAAAGAATCTACAGAAGTAGTCGCTTAATTTGATCGTTGATTCTTTCATTTTATTGTCTATTATATCTGTAATGTTTATAGACAAGTCTTTTCTTATTCTTTTTAAAGATATAGAGCAAGTTCTATATTCGTATTCTTCTGGAGTGGCAGTTGATTCCTTTTTTGATGACGACGCTTCTGGTGGAAAAGCCAAGTTTCTTTCTTTCAGATTTTCTGCGGTAATTTCAAAATTTTCTTTCACAAGGTCTACCCACAGCAGATGATTTCTTTTTTCACCATTTTTGTCCATGTAATCAGTCATTACACTTCTTTCCAGACCTGCTAAATCTACTGCCATTGAAATCATTCCCCTTAGCAAACTTGTTGATTCTACAAGCTTCGCTTAAAGCTTTCATAACTCACTTTCTAATGTTGCTCTTTTTTTTTTGGTACTGTGTTAATAATACTGTTATTAAGAAAGCTTCACATAGAATCATCAAAGTATTTTCTGTATTGTGGATCGTTATTACGATAAATCTTTGTTCGTTTGGTAATTGATGGCTCTTCCTTAGTCAACTTTCGTTTATCAAGTACTGGAGCAGATGTATAAGTAAACGCTTTGAACTTGCTTTTTTATTTTGCTTTAAAATTAGGCATGCTACCATCGAAAAATTAAGCTTCTTGACCTTTAAGCCCCCATCAATTGTACATACTTTTATTATTTGAGCAAAAGAAAATAGCACAATTTGATTCTGTAAAACATTCGGCATCCACAGTGGTTTTGAAAACATCATGACTTTATTGATTAATTGTAAAAAGATCAAGTAAACATCAAGTTGACAACAATTTCATAAACAAGACTTTTTATTTATTGCAAGCGCTATGTTCCTATTAATTTCGCGATTATTCATTGTTTGCGTCAGTTAAAAATCGTGTATTTCTACATTGTTATTTGATTCGAATAGGTTTGCAATAACTGTACCTTATCTTTCAAGATGATCCAGAGTGATATATCAACGTACTTTTCAATATCCGATATGACTGCTAAAATCCTGCTAACTTCAAAGCTACAATCAAAATGACACTACTGTCTTTGAATTTGTACAAAATAGGAAAAACCAGATTTTGTTGCGCTCTTTTTATTAAACTGTAAAATGCATAGAGAGGTTTTTTTTCTTCTTTTCTTTTTTTTTCATTATTTAGTCAAGTATGAGTGAAGAAGACATAGATTTTAGTCAACATGGTGTGCCCAAGACGGATGAACCATTTGATGAGAGCCTTTTCCCATATGTATGCGATGCTCACTGTCATCCACACGATGATATTGCCAATATATCCATGATTCGTCAATTACAGACAGGTCATATTACCATCATGGGCGTCAGACAAGATGATTGGGATGTGGTGTCCAAAGTAGCAGCAGAATGTAATAACGAGCGAGCAAATGCGTGTATTCCTTCATTTGGTAAACAGATTATATTTAAAAGAAGGAACCATATCACTCAAATCTTTAGAAAAGGCATTCACCCATGGTTTTGTTATAGATTGATGATTGAAGAAAAGCCAGCAAAGGAGCATTACAAGAGTGTTCTCACGTGCCCTCATGAAGATGAACTAGAACAAATGATACATGATTTGAAAGATCCATTTCCATATGAGATGTGGTATCAAAATTTACGACAAAGGCTACTTGATCATCCAAACGCGATTGTTGGAGAAATCGGACTTGACAGGGCAGCCAAGTTGCTACCTGGAGGTGCGATTGAATGGCACGGAGTCAAGCCAACGAATGTTCAATGCTCCATTGAGCATCAGTTGAGAATATTTGAAATTCAGAGTAATTTGGCACGAGAGCTCGATCGAGGTATAAGCGCTCATTGTGTGCAAGGCCAAGGTCACCTATACAACTATCTTAAAGAACAGTCTGGACAGTACAGTAACAGAAAGCTAAAAAAGCTCAATAAGCCCTTCTCTCCTCTTCGCCTCTGTTTACACTCTTATGGCGGATCACCAGCGACTATCCATCAATTTATGCAGCTCAATGGATTCAAGATCTATATATCGTTCTCAGCCGTCATTAATGCTAGACTATTGCCGACAGAAAAGTTTATTGAATTGATCAAGGCAGTACCTGAGGATAGACTGTTGATAGAATCTGATCTTAATTCGCCTAAAGGCTTAGACACTTGTATGATAGAAATCATTAAAATAATAGCACAAACGCGTCAGTGGTCTGTGCAAAAAGTGGTGCAAGTGACACAGAAAAACTGGCAAGAGTTTGTTGGATTGTATAAATAAAAAAGCTTTATGATAAGGATGTATAGACTATAAATCAAGTGTGTTTGAAAGTGGGAGATACAATAAAGCCTCGCTCTTTCTCCTCTTCTCTCCTTTTTTAAAATATGTTTATTATCATGTGCAACTTCTTTAAATTAAGCAAGAGCTGTTTAGCAATAACATTTGTCAAGTGATATTGGACAATGAAGAAGAGCCTATTAAATTACCAGGAGTAAATGTCTAAATTCTGGGAGGAGAACCGTGTTCGGCACGGCGACGAAATGCTTGGGATCTGCCACATCCACGAAGGATGCCATTGGCGATCTTGAAAATATTTTTCGAAGTGTTTATATCACGTTTCTAAAGCAATCCACACCCTGTGCAGGATTGGATGCCATGGAAGTTCGCGAAGGCAGCTATGAACGTCATCTTGTCACAAGAGTTGTAGATCTATAGGTAGTTAAGTAGGATATTCAAAATTAGAGAATAACGCTTACCCTTGACGTTCTGAATTCGTCAGCTGTTACAACTATAATATCCCCTTGTCTTTCTCTCCTTTTCAATGCTTTGTATAGAAGACGATACTGAAATCCTCCAAGACCTTTTTTGCGCCTTGTAAGTAATGCGATATATGCTTGTAAGCTTACTTAATGATCTACTTAAGCCTTAAAATATATTCAACGAAACAAGACATATCTGGTGGACAATCTACTTTCAACTCATTCTTCCTATAATGATTTTTTGAAAGCAGTAGTACAAGGAACGAAGTTGAAGCAATTTGGTGCTGAGCTAAAAGTTGGAGAAGCTTGCCTGGTTTCTATGAGCAAGTAATTAAAGGAACTAGAAATTCAAGACGATGAAAAATTTCAATATAAAGCTGATGTACTCATTAAGCTCTATGGTTTGAAACAATCAGAAATATTGCTTTTGGAGACATCAGTCTCCTTTGGTAACACCGAGAAGGTCAAAATAAATTTTGACCATCACAAGGGAACCTTTGGATGTCTAACAATGCTAAAGGTATTAGCTGATGAATTCTTTTATGCTTCTGAAGAAGCTTTCAAGAAACTTAAATCCTTTTTCTACATGCTTCAGGTTAGTGCATAAGCTTGGTATCTGTGATGTAATTATGTTTTCTCTTGAAACTTATAATTATGAGCAATAATGAAGATGTAACTGAACAAAGTTCAGACAGTACATTTGACATACAACTTCTGAATGATGTCTTAAAACCTGGCGATGCTGACAACTTCTCGCTGTGCAGTCTAGGCTGTGGTAGACAACATGCTTTCACAGCATCCTACAACGAGGAATAAAATTCTCATCAAATAGAAAGAGTTTCGACAGTGGAATACTACAATTAAACTGGCTGCATTCGTCATCAAAGAAAAGAACAGAAAAGAACAGAAAAGAATGGAGAAGGAAGGAATGAAATGGATTGCTGAACATCTCTTCGACCAAGACTACATCCTTGACGCAATATCATATGCATATGACATATATAATGGCCAATACTCAGAAAATATTAGATTTTTATGGATACGGAACAGCCAAGGGGCGCTTTCACGGTTATCAAGGGGTTCAATAGGCCAGAGAAGAAATGGCAATATACTAGTCAACGGCGGTAAGAAGCACAATAAGGATAGGAGAAAGAATATAAGAAAGAACCGTAGAAGGAAAAAGAAAACGAAAGCGAAAAGGGAATAAAAGAAAAGAAGAAAGAAGAAGAAAGTTGCAAAAGTTACCGCTATATAAACAGCAATGTGCTTATTTGATAACTTACAACTGTTTATCAATAGGCCCGAAAATCAGTAGAAACCACAAAGAAACACGTATGACAGAGAGAAAATACCTGTGATTGCTTTTGACTCTGGAATGCTCGATAAGGACGGCAGGAAGCTCAACGGACATAGAACAGGAATAACAGATGTTGCTCATTGTTACTTTCAGGAATAATATTATTTTGTTTTTTAAACGACACCAATTCTACCAGCATTTACCGTTAGCATGAAAGCATAGTTTTATCTGGCCACGTTTCTTTAACCTTACACTATCAATAGCTTTGTCTATGTATTTAGTACATATTTCTGGGATTAGGAAATGTTGTTTTGTGTGAGTGCTGACCTGCTCATGGTAAAGTTCTTCTGGTAAGTATGGTAGATGAGATACACCTTGTTCACATCAAGTAGTATTATGTGATGCAGGGCTAATAATTGAAAGGAAGTTAATCTTAAGGCAGTTTCCAAGCATGGATTAACACAAGTGTGTTAATTAACTTTGGAAAATACTTGGTGCACTCAAAAATAAACCAATGTCTCTATTCACTACCTATGATGTCACCCAACAAAGCTTTTCAATGTGTAGCGTCAAGCTAAACATGAGTTTATGAAGTTACCATCTTGAATTATCTCTTTTCAAGAAGAAAGAGATAAAAAAGAAAGTTTGTTATTTTTTATTCTAGTTTTATGTTGTCAATCTATCAACAAAGAACTAAGATCAATCACTTATAATTATGATGCACTTAAATTTTATATCAGAGAGAGTGAACTGGGCAGCCTTAGGTTAGGCAGAGACTTTGGTATATAGGCAGGAGAGGCCAAGTGAGCTAAGGATTGTGCTATACACGTACGTAAGAAGAAAGGGGCTAATTGGAGGTGACCATCCTGAATCACTTTCAGAAACATTTTAACAAGTCTGGATGACTGAGCAATTTCTATATTACTGCATGACCGTGTAAAATGGAGTTCTGAGTCAATGATGTACACACTACTTGCTGAAAGTTTTAAGATCGAGGGACGAAGCTGGAAAGTCCAAAGTGGGTTGATGATGGATCCAAGAGGAATATTCATGGCCGTCTTTGGATTGATAACCACAGTAAAGAGATCTTTGGGAAGAGCATCCATGGCTTGATACAAGAGATACAACAGGTGTCCTCAGTCCTTGGACAGAAGAGGGCCGAGCGAGGGAAACAGAGAAGGAAGATGAAAGTCAGAACCTAATGCTGCAGGCTCTGGGAGCCGCATCGAGATCTCTACAAGATGAATGAGATAGCCCGCTAGGATGGGCAGAACAATGGAAGAAAGGTATATAATGGGTTCTGGAGCGTTGCAATCATGCCATTAAAGAGAATTAATGGCGACAACACTAAAGAATAAATAGTCACTTCAAGAATTTAAAGCTCAGAAGGGGGCAAGATAAGGCCATGCGGGGCAGAACCGGAAAGTGAAATTTACCCATTGCGTCATACTCGGCCAAAGGCAGAAAAATTTTTGTAGCCAAATAAAGGAGAAAGAAATATTGGTTTCTTTCTTTTTCCATCATCTTTTTTTTATTCATTAGTTTCATCTATTCCAAATGAGTGAGAGTGAAAATCCAGGTATGCAGCCCATCATCTTGTAAAACACATATTCACATCTTGTTTCTAGTTGAACATCAACGTCTCTCCGACGACAGAGGTAGACGTTCCCGCAGTCGCTCCAGATCCCGTTCTCCTGGACGTGAGCACAGTGAACACAGATACAGAAGCCGTTCTCGCTCAAGGGAACCATTGTAAATAACGAATATAATATAACATCATCAGCTTAATTCACACCTTTTTTCTTTTTACATTAGAGGTCGTGAAGATGAAAATCCTGGTGATAACTTATTCATCACCGGTCTTACAGTAAGAACAAATGGTGCTGATCTTGAAGAAATTTTCGCAAAATATGGCAAGGTTTGTGGTTATTTATGCCCTTCTTTTATCCTTTTTTATTCATTCGTTATTATAGGTTATAAAAGCAGAAATCATGTATGATCCTCATACACGTGAATCCCGTGGTTTTGGCTTTATTCGTATGGCTAGTGCTGAAGACGCCGAAAGAGCCTTGACTGGCGTCAGTGGAACTGAAATTGACGGTCGCGTTGTTACAGTTGAAAAGGTATAACAGCATGAGAATCAGCAACGATTATACTGACAGTTTTCCCCCACTCAAGGCAAGACGTTCTAGACCTAGAACACCTACTCCTGGTCGCTATTATGGACCTCCTAAGCGCGGACGTAAGTTTTTAATATATAAAAATGGATGCATTTTTGTTTAACATTTCTTTTAGCTCCCAGAGATAGAAGAGACCATCATCGACCTCCCCGTGGTGACCCAAGATACGATCGTTACTATGAACGATCTTACATGGACCGCTATGATCCTCCCAGATACGACCGTTATGAAAGGGATCGTTACGACCGTTATGATCGCTACGATAGGTACGACCGTTACGACCGCTATGACCGCTATGACCGTCGCCCACCACCACCAAGATATGAACCCTACCCTCCTCGTACCAGATCACCTTATTAAGGAGTATTTTTGATCAACAATTAAAAATTATATAAAACTAGCCAGTTTGCATCAAATCACAATAACACTACCACACATCACTAAGAAAAACGCGCAGTAGTTACATTTTTTTCTTTTGTTTTCTTTCTCCTCCTCTTTTCATTCTACTTCACTAAGTCTCGTCTAAACACAATCCCATCATTGTTCAGCTTCAGCTTATGACAGTAATAGTAGAACAACTAAAGTATACTCAATAGCAGGACTCATCTTCCAGCTTACACACAACACAACCATTCAGTTTTTATCGTCCTGCCGTGACGTTAGAATAAGGTAAATAGTGTAAAAATAATTCTAAAAAAAATACTATATATACAGCCCACTTGGCATCCTCCTTTTGCTGCTGATGATAATATGTACACAACCAAGTGGTATTCAACAATCAAAGATGCATGAATCGCAAGATGCTTCTGCTGTATCTGAAATTGGGCTTTTTTCTTCTTCAAAGGTTGATGACACTTATACAATATTTAAAGTCTTCTTCATACCTCCTTAGCACTGTAGGGAACAATTGGAAAATGCTCATGTGTATATAAGAAAGCAAATATCACGGTACGTATTCCCCTTCCCCCTTTATCTTTCCCTTCCTTTTTTACAATAAAAAAAAGCATAGTTCTTTACGCCATCACGTTACTAAATCATTTTTGCTGTTAAAAAATAAGCTCAGTTTTTTTTTATTATTATTTTTTGTGTTTTTTCTTTCAATGTCTACTGTAAAAGTAAATCCTCATAGACCTTATTATACACCTGGAATACACCATTATAATTATACTTCATTACCTTCAACTGACCAAAGTGCACCTTATTTACTGGAAGACACAAGACGACATGACGACTTGAAAAACTTTACGACACGATGCACAAGTTTTGCATTCTTCAAGTACTTTGTTACTATGCTAACAAGTCCTTTTGAAGTGGGGACAACCCTGCTTCAGGTTCAATACTCTCCACATGAAGATGTCGAAGTTCTAGGTCCAGCTATACTAGAGCAAACACAACCCCTGCAAACGTCGCAGGCAAGTTACCCCATGTGAGTTAAAACAGGAACCCTAATATCTTGTATAGTTCTCTGACGAAGAAGAGGACGATGAGGAAGATACATTTTATAGAAAGCCTGAAAGAATATCTATTGACGCCAATCGATTAAATAAGCTTGAATTCTTATCGGTCAGTGTATATGACGATCAAAATAGGCCAGTTCATCAGATGGCACCTATGCAAGATGGGCTATTGGAGATATTACGATTGATCGTGAAGCAATCGACTGAAGGATGGAAATCATTATTTAAAGGTAACAACTACAAAGAGATTAGAGAGAAAAATAAGGCAAACTGTCTTTTGATTGAACAATGTATTTAGGCCAAAGGGTGACTTGGGTATACGAAATGCTTCGCACAACGCTTCGTCCTGCGCTTGAAGGCTCCTTAAATGACCTCTTTGGCTTATACGATGACACAATACCTTTGATGCATCTTGATAACATTACACCAAACATGACAACACTTGTTGCCTCTCATCTAGTCGTTGGCATCCTACTAAGCCCTCTCGAGATTATCAGGACAAGATTGATCGTTCAATCTGCCTCGCCTCTATGCAGCAAGTACAAGGGACCCTTCCATGCACTACGCACCATGTATGCAGAGGAAGGCGGACTCCGCGGCATTTATCTTTCCAAAAACTTGGTACCCACCTTACTCTACCATGGCATCACCCCACTTTTATCCTGTAGTATACCATTAATCATTGCACGCACTCTAGGCATATCTCCTGCAGACTCTCCTGTACTTTACGGAGCTGCTGAATTTACCCTATCTACCTTGGGATTACTGCTCATGCTTCCCTTAGAAACTATCAGAAAGAGGCTTCATTGTCAGGTACCTATGACGGGTGAACCGTTCAAATCGACTGTCGCTTTACGTCCAGTGCCTTATCGAGGTGTTTTAGATGCTATGTACAAAATCATGAAGGAAGAGGGCACACGCAATAAGTTTAGTCAGCAAAGAAAGCTTCGCAAGAAGAACCACTTTTCCGAATCAGATTCAACAACAACCAGTGACACTGACGAAGACGTGTTCCGTCATCCCAAGCATAGACAAATCACAAGTGCTTGGGGTATCTATGGCCTATACAGAGGGTTCACTATGCAATTGGCTGCAAATGTCATGGTCTTTATGTTTCATGCCATGAATGGGCTTGAAGGTGTGTAAAAGAATGGTTCATTATGTTGCAAATTATTATAAAGAGATTTAGCGATTTTGATTGGCTCTGTACTTTTATTGCATAAACAAATAAACTTAGCTTCTTTTTTTTTCCTCCTTTTTCTTTTTTCTCTATGAAAACTTGTCAAACTTTGGCTCTATTTAGCCTTTTGTCATTTACTTTTGCAGAATGGCAGCATGGACAACATGTTCTTCATGATAATTCAATTCCTATTGAAAAATCTGTTGCCATCATAGGTACACACAACAGGAGAAAATCATGTTGAATAATAACGCTTTCTATTTGCAAAAAAAAAAAAAAAAAAAGGTGGAGGCGCTGCTGGTACATCAACTGCTTTCTGGCTAAGCAACGTATTTTCTCATCCTGATAAAATTCGCATGACTCTTTTTGAACAAAGTGAATATATTGGAGGCAGAAGTACAACTATTCCGATCAAAGATGACGCTGCTACTTGGGGAACTATTGAGCTTGGTGCTTCTATTTTTGTTGAAGCCAATAAAAACTTGATGAAGGCAGTCGATACGTTCAATCTGACGAGGACTAAGTTGACGGAGGTTCGTGATGATAAGAGGCCCGGTCTTGGTATTTGGGATGGAAAAGAGTTTCTGTTTGAACAGTCTGGCACATTGTGGGATACGATTGTTCCTATCTGGAGATATGGGTTGCTTTCTCCACTCAAGGTAAAAAAAAAAAGTCTATACAGTATGCTTTTATCTGATTTTCCTGTATAGTTCCAAAGAAAGCAAAAGGCTGTTGTTGGTCAGTTTATGAAGCTGTATGATTCAGACCTTGGGTTTGAACATGTACCAAAGGCTGTGAGGAGTCTTCAGTTTGAAAGTTTGCTTAACCAAAGCGCTATTGATTATTTAAAAGATGAGCTTGGTATCAATGATGCATATGCCTATGAAGTACTACAATCTGCAACAAGAGGTAACTATTGCCAGGATTTGAACAGAGTGCACGCGTTAGCTGTCATGGTAAGAAGCCACAAGATGAAAAATAAAAGGTAAAAACTAACTGATGTCTGTAGGTGTCGATGGAAGCAGGTCATGGTACATGGGCATTGGAAGAAGGAAACTTCAAAATATTTGAAGAGTTTGCAAGTCGTTCTGGGGCAGATGTACGACTGAATACCAAAGTAACGGCTGTTTATAATGTCACCGAATTCGATCAAATAGGAAAACCAGTTCATAGATACGCTGTTCAGACATCGGATGGAGCACATCAAGTATTTGATGATGTCGTCCTTGCTTCTCCTCTTGCCTTGTCTGAAATTCAGTTTGGATTCCCAGCAGAACGTCATCATCGAGATTATCACGTTGTTCATGTTACACTTGTTGCTGGGCATATCAATCCTCATTATTTTGGCAAGGACAGCATTGATAAAACACCCACCTTTGTTATCACCACTGGACATCCACTAGGTAAGCAAGATACCCAAGCACTTGTGATTATACTGACTCTCTACCAATTATATAAAGTTAAAAACTTTCAAGATGGCAGCGCACCATTTCAAACATTCTCTGTCCATCGACAGTTGGATAATGGTGAGCAGGTTATCAAGATATTCTCATCACATGAGTTGAGTGAAGAAGAGCTTGATGAGCTGTTCTTGAACAAGAGTTGGGCCTTCCGTAAGAAATGGCATGCATTTCCAGAGCTATATCCTATTACTGATGAGCACCAGTTTGTACCTTTTGTACTGAAAATGGAAGGAGAAGAGAATGGAATTATTTATACCAGCGCATTTGAAAACTTTATATCCGTAAGATATTTATTTACGAAGGCGTGTGTGTGTACTGAGATAATGACTAATGAATCATTTATTTTTAAAGACGATGGAAACGCAAACAATAGCAGGTAAAAATGCAGCAAGACTGTTGTATGATAAATGGTGCGAACATCGTCACTGTAAACTATTTGGTGATGGTTGGGGATCCTATTGATTGACCAAATAAACACCAGACATATTCTCTAATTCAATGTTTCTTCTTGGCATGTTTTTTCCGAAGAAAGTGTGAATCAATCTCCATTCTTGTTCTGTACTAGGCATCGCATGGCCCTTGTTTGGGATGAATACTTGAGAGACTTCAGCAGATGGTGAACAAAGCTTCTTTACTTGTTTAAACTATAACAGATGTGGTTTTTTTTTAAAAAAGAATGCAATAGTATTCAGATGTTTACCTTTGTCTCTGCTATCGACTTGTTCATTGTTTCGTCTCTTTCACCTTGAGTGATAAGGATGTATCCAGGATATCCTCCATCTATTCTACTGTCTGTGCTCTGTTCCTCAAGCAAGTACCCACTGATGCTAATAATGCCTCCCAAATTGCGCACCTTACCAAAGAGTGCTGTATCTAATGCCACCGTCCCACCCTGAGAGAATCCAAAGAGGAATATATTGGGTGGATTCCAATTACAGTCATTGACAAGATGCTCCAACAACTTGTTTATCTTGCTTCTTATATTCAATAAACCTTTCATTCTTTCAGGATGTCCTGGAGGCAGCACTATACATATTGTACATGTAAATGAACATTTTCTATTATACATGTCTACTATTCTTACATTCACCTGTGAGCAGGTTAAAGCTAGGAAACCACTGAAAACAGCCGTCAAGATAGGGCACCTCCTCAGGCCCTTGGAGTGATATAATTGCGGTCTGTGGAAGTTTAAGTTGTTGTCCAAGTCTTGTGAACGGCGTCTTTGAATCGCCTACAACATGTTATTCTTTACATGCGCCAACAACATAAAAAAAGCAGCATTACCTAAACCATGCAGTAAGATTAGCAAATTATGATCAATGCCATCTTGACTTGGACTGTAATCAAATTTTAAATCAACTTTTTTAGGATCTGGTGAGGTTGCCTTGTTTTTTATAGCTGATGCAGCTTTTTGAACATGGATCGATTGCATCTTTAGTACTTTGGAGGAGAGTTAATGGATTGAATTATACAGATCGTGGTTTTTTTTTATTATTATTATTTTGACACTGAGAGGAGGAATGTCAGACTGAGAAACAAAAGATAGCCCTTATAATATACAATAAATAGAAATATACATCAATATTTTGAGTCAAGATGAAAGAAGCAAATGATAATACAACAAGCTGAAAAGAGCTAATTGTAAAAATAAAAAGGAACTTGATAATATATTACTTAACCTTTTACCATCGCACCGAGGCAAAAGACAATCATTAAAAAAAAGCCATAGTTAGGACAAATATACCTTCCAATAGAAATTGCCACACACATACGTAGAACATCACGTTTTTGACATAGTATATATGTGTCTCTTTATGAAGATAAGGATAACAAAATCTTTTATTAAAAGGGCGATGTGTAAGCGTGTGCGTTCCTGATTTCTGTGAAATAAAATTATTAACCCGTGTGAGTTTTTGATTTCTTTGTTTTCCTTTTTTTTTTTTTTTTTTTTTTTCAACTAAGCAACTTGAAGTAGTGCTTCGATATGCCTACTTACATGGATTCTCATGTGAACAAGTATGAAAAAAGGCACCTCCCCTCTTATTCTC